AGGACGGCTCACGGGCTGGAGGGAGTAAGGAGGGAGAGAGAAGCTCTATGACTATGATGTAAGTTTGGCCTAGGAAGTTTCCTAGCATGATACCATCTCAGAGTATTGCGGAATAATGAGTTAGGTCAAGGTACAAGGAGAGTGTGGAGTGAAATTATTGTCTGAATGATGAGGCAGGAATGAGTTCATTAGCAGGCATGGGGAGTACAAAAGGGGAAACCTTAAAAGGTTTGTACTCTCTAATGAGTACCCCAATACAGCCTACACAATAATGTATGCATTTTGACACACCCCCATACGCAAAGTGGGATAGCAAGAACAACCAATGGTCACAAGACCAGTCAAGCAAGAAGCAAAGCAAAGCAAAGCTCAAGGTGGATCTCAAGATCACCACGCAGTCCAAGCACAAGCAAGTGGCCACAAGGTTAGTTCACATGAAGAGTTGTAAAAGCACAAACATTACACTGAACACAACCTAGCAAGAGTTAGGATACAGGTATATTTATATGAATCACAGTGCAAGGCAAAGTCACGCAGTAAGCAAGTGAGGCAAAGTAGACACTAGGCCTAGAGCAGTGCAGAAACGCTGATGATCACCAGACATAAGTGCCTTGGCGAAAATATCAGCAAGGTTGGCCGCGTAAGCAAGGCAAAGCTGAACACACTGCTGTAACTCTCGAGCGAGGAAGTAACGAAGAGCAATGTGCTTTGTTCTGTGGTCCAGTCTCCGCTCCCGAGACAATGCGATCAAGGCCTTGTTGTCGACGTACAGAACCGGAGTAGAACGAGGCTGCTCACCCAAGTCTGTCAGCAAGTAGGTCAGCCAGCGTAACTCCCTCTTAGCAGCCTGCCAGTGGTCTGGACGGTGTCTCCAAGCGCAACGTAGCGCGCCAGGATGCTGAGAGGGTACGCGAGGTCAGGTCGAGTGCAATTCATCAAGTACATGAGGCAACCCACAAGCTCTGGATACTGACCACTCGGCACTACGTACTCGTTCGAAGGTGGAGGAGTGGAATGCGGCGAGAAGAACTGGAAGTCGAAGCGCTGAAGGACCTGGTTTACCATGTATGACTGAATCACAGTGATGGTACGCCGTGCTCTGTCCCGGGTAATCTGCAAGCCAAGATAGCTGCGCAGCTCACCAAGGTCAGTGTAGGTGTGTCTCTTCTGAAGCTCCGCCTTCACAAGGGTCAGTCCCTCAGAGTCGGCAATAGCAAAGACCAAGTTGTCCACATACACGAGGATGTAGAACGGAGGCAGAGAAGGGTCGGTGCGCAGAAACAGCGACAGTTTAGCATTCGAAGGAGAAAACCCAAGAGCCGCAAGTGTCGTTCTCAGTGTGTCGTGCGACTCGTGGGGCGCTTGGCGGAGACCGTAGATTGGCCGCCGGGGGCTCCGCCGGGGGCGACCCAGTGAATCCAGGTGGGCGGCGCAGCCAGATCTCCTCGTGAAGGCAGTCCTGCAAGAAAGCTGTGCTGAAGTCAAGCGAGTGGAGCTCGTAGGCACGATGTGCTGCAATGTGCAGAAACACCCGAAGAGTGGTCATCTTTGGAGTTGAAGAGAAGGTCTGGAAGAAGTCGACCCCCTGTCGCTGACTGAAGCCTCATGCAACGTAACGCGCCTTGAAGGCAGGCGGAGAACCCGGCGGCCGCGTCACCCGGAAGATCCACATGCCATCGACTATGTTCGCACTAGGAGGGGGAACCTCGTCGACGTAAGTGTCTGTGGACTTCCAGGAAGCCATCTCTGCATACATGGCTGTCTGCCACTGAGAGGAGTACTCACTCGAGATCGCCTCTGCGTAAAAGCACGGGGTAGGGATGTCTAGTGTATCCGGGTCTCCCTCAGGGCACAGCAACATGGAAGCGAGATGAGGTACAGCAGCCGCAAGGCACTCGAGCTCAAACTTCCTGTCCTCAAGGACGTCACAACCAAAGGCAAGATCACCCCCGACGGACGGAGGACAGTCAGTCTCAGACTCAGTAACAAGACTTGTGAAGTTGTCAAGACGATAGGAAGCAGCAAATTCAACTAGCTCAGTGACTAAGGCCGACGCATTAGTAGACTCGCAGAAAGGGTCAGTGACAAGTGTGGCCAAGAGACGCGTGACAGTAGGACTGGCAGCACGAGCTTGGTCAGACCCGGGGACAGGAACGTCAGGAAGAGAGGAAGCCAGAGGAGACAGCAGGGCAACAGGCTGTGGAACAGAGGAAGGACGAAGTGCCATAGTGTGCGTGCCGGGGACTGGTGGAGGACGAACACGAAGAGCACGACGAACAACCCGAAAAGACGAGGCAGGACGAGACTCAGGCTCACGATGCTCTCTCAGGGAGTCAGTCTGCTCAGTGTAAGGAGTAGGAGCAGGCAGTGGGGAGCCAGGCTGCAACTGCGGCTGTGACTGGTTTGGCGGAGGACATAGTAGAGGTGGAGTAAAGCTAGTGGAAGACGGAAGACTAAGAACCTGGCGAAGTGCCGAGTCATGTGGTGCTAGTGACGAATGCGGCTGCGGGTAGAAAAACGGTCGTTGGTGCGCATTGCCCACAGTACCAGAGCCTCCAGCTCCAGTACCTCCGACACCAGCACCTCCAGTACCCACCAGTGACTCCAGCACCTCCAGCTCCAGCACCTCCAGCACCAGCAGCTCCAGTACCTCCAGAACCTCCAGCTCCAGTACCTCCAGTACCTCCAGTACCTCCAGCTCCAGCGCATCCAGCACCAGTAGCTCTAGTACCTCCAGTACCTCGCTATCGGGGTAGGGGTCGGGTACGAGAGGCGGGAGGGGCACGGGGGAACTGCGTTGGGGGTGGGGACGGTAGAAGCAGACATACACGTCAAATGTGACGTCCTGGGAGGAGAGGACACGGCGAGAACCCGGGTGGTGAAGTTGCCAAGGGGCGTCGGGAGGAAAGCCAAGGAAGACGCAGCGAAGAGTGCGAGGAGAGAGCTTGCCCGCGGGAAGATCGCGAACAAGAGTAAGAAAAACCCCAGACCCGAAACGGCGACGCATCACCAACCTCACCCGTCCGATGCAGGGTAGGGGAGGTCTATAGGTGGGAGACACGGGGCCAGAGATTGAGCTGCTGCGCGGTGTATCGGACCGCAAACGGCCACAGAAAATGGGGAGCCGCCGCATGGACCATGGAGGTGCGAGCAACCTCCATGACCAAGCCAATGCGGCGCTCTGCAATCCCATTTTGCTGCGGAGAGGCCGGAAGCGTGAACGATTAGGTGATGCCCTCAGCACCACAAAAGTCATCGAGGAAGCGGGAGGAAAACTCACCACCTCGGTCAGAGTGCACCCGCAGGACGGGGAGGTCCTGCTGGAACCGAGCGCTGAGTTGGCGACAGACAGTGCGGATCCAGCAGATCAAAACATTGCGGACATCCGCCTTGCTCTGCAAGGAAAAGACAGTGGTGTAGGGCATGTAGTCGTCAACAACCCGCAGAAAGTAGCGCTCGCTACCCTGCCCAGTGATGCGGGCTGTCCCCTACACGTCCATGTGAAGGGTTTGCAGAGGAGCTGTGGTCGAAAGAAACGAGGAGGAGTGAGGAGCGGCGCGCTGCCGCCCCTCGACGCAGGGAAGGCATGGCGGCACAAGCGACCTCGGGAGCTGGGCAGGGACCTGGGGAGGCCAGAGACCAGGAGACGGGAGTGCATGCTATGCAGATGCGGCAGGGAGGGGTGACCAAGGCGGTGGTGCCAGAGCAGAGCCGGGTGCGTGAGTTTCCGACACGAACAAGACGCAACTACCTCACCTGACACAGCTACTGGACCTGACTCAGCCACCTGTGCAGACTCAGTGGTCAGTGTGTACAGGCCAGGCCCGGGCCTCCGAGTGAACGTGGCGAGGTGCTCGCCAGTGCGTGAGTCCGTACATATCGCCACGCGCTCTCTCCCAGGTTGGGTGACAGTGACCAACTGGTCCTTTAGGAAGGCAGTAGCCACCAAGTTCCTAGTGAACGAGGGGAGGTGGAGACCTCTGAGGACACGTGAGCGAGCCATGAGCTTCTCTAGTGCGGCTTGAAATAATCGCGTAAAACTGGGCTGAAACTACTTATGTGTAACTTTTGTGCGAGCAGAGCAGCAGGAGGCAGCCCGCCCAAGCAGGGTGGCTGGAAACTTGGCGGCGTGGGCAGCGGAAGCAGGGAATTTCAGTTTCCGCTGATTGTTGACCAAATTGCGAGCTGTATCGCCCCAAAACATGCAGCATCCCACAGAACCGTAATCAAACGCACATCACAACAGACACTTTGATTGGGATGTGCATCATCCCGCGAGACGCGGTTCTGCTTCCTCTCATAATGATCCCCCCCATCGATGTGAAAAAGTGCACTGCTGTATCTCGTCATGTATCCTTTATACAAAACTTAGGTTGTGCACTCAAACAATATTTTCATGCTTTAATCTGAATGCAATGTTCAACTATGATTCTGGTATGCCTTTCTTTTCCCAATTTCTATAAGGACGTGGACTCTCGGCACGATAGATCGCAATTGAGAAACGATTCCGCAAGAGTTTCTGTGTTACCATGTGTGTAACAGCCTAACAGTAATACTGTTGGCGTGACGATTGAAGCAACCCATTGTGGCAATCGATCGTACTTAGATATATGCCAATCAGCCGATCAAATGCCTGCTGAAGGGCCGACTGATCGCCCAACGATCCCGAGACTTTCTCGCTTTGGGAGAAGAAGGTACCCTGTGTTATCACGAAACGTTTTCGCCAAAGTTGCAAATACACGACTGCATTCCACTGTGCACAGGCAATTTGACGATCGTGGACACGACACTGCCCCAGGGTTGTCGTGAAATGTAACGCGCTCCTAGCAAACCTTCACCTAGTAACTGAGGATTTTCAGCTAGTTCCGTCTGTCTGCTCCTATGATCCCAGCCTTGCCCATTACCCCTCCTTCAGTTACGCCACTCAATCCTCGTTGGAGCTCCATTTGAACTCGCAAATAACGCGCTCGCATCCAACGAGTGGCGACACGCGCGCAGCCATGGAGTCGTTTTTATGCACACTCGGTCAGTCCCAACACATCGTTATAGTGCATCCAACCCGTTAAGCTCTCAAGAGATGTTCGAGAATTTTCAAAATCCCCCTCGTTTGTGTGTAAAATACCGACGTTTTGATTGCCTTGTTGTCTGCCTATCACGCTCTCCGACGGTATCAAGGAGCCTCGGTCTGTATGTCATACGCTCAACAGTTGACAACTGTTGAGGCGCCTCAAAAGCAGACTCGTTCCGTATATCATACGCTGAATTTTTGTTTCCCAGCAACGCATCTGTGCATCTTCCTGCGTGGCTTCCAACTCTCCAGTAGCGACACTCGCGAATTTTCGCGAACTTGGCTCTTTTGAGCAGAATAATATTACGAGTGCAGCCATCCACCCGCGTCTCATTTCCAGTGGGTCTTTTGAACGTCCTTGTGTTTAATATTGTATCTTCGTGCAGGTCTGCTCACCACGTGCCTCCTTCAGGCAGCTTACTGGTTCGTTCCCCATTGCCTCGTTCTCCCATGCCCTTCCCATACCTTTTCCACTCCTAACCCGTGCCATTCCCATGCCATTAACCCATGCGTTACCCCTGCCTTCCCCATGCCTCGTCCATGCTTCACAGCCCTGTTGATTATTGATTCCTATCGGACAGTCCCTCTTAGGCAACAGCCCCCATCATCATCCAGCATCCCTCCTTCGCTACAATCACACCTCAAGTTCAGCCCCTCATAATCTCCTCCCATATCCCATGCGTTTGCCCATATTTTCAGGAACGCCTTCCAAGAAGCTGCCTCGCCCTATACCCGCAGCAACATCTCTACAGTCCCCATCTCCTGCTCCCTCCTCTCCTCCCTCCTCTGGGCTGCCTACGCCCTCCCTATAGTCACACCCCGCCGCGTCCTCTTCCTGCTCGCCCACCTTCTACAATCTCTCTCCCTTTCTGCCCTCCTCCTCGCCGTCATCTCCTCCGACTCCTCTAGCTACACTCTGCGCCTGGTACGTTCTTCATGGTTCCTATAAATGTGAAAAACAAAAACAAAAACAAAAACAAAAACAAAAACAAAAACAAGAACAAGAACAAGAACAACAAGGAAAAAAAACCAGAAATGAAAGAGCCTCTGACTACAAGCTGCTGCCTGTACGTTATAAGACCCGCTTGAGTGACGAGGGGAGGTTCTTTGCAAGTCAGCTCCAACTTGGTCCCTCATCCAGACCAGACCAGCAACTCTCGCAGTTCCAACCTCCACTGAAATCCCGCATGTCTGTATGCCCTCCCCTTCTTCATATTACCTTCACCTGTCACCCCCCACCTCCGGCCCCTCAGCGGCAGGTGCTGCAGCTGCTGCTTCCGGCCTCAGGACTTTCCATCCTGGTGCTCTCCCTCGGATCCTTCTTTGCACCTTCCTCCCTTGTCATTGGCTGGACTGCCTCTGCTGCGGCTGCTCTCCTGCTGGCCTCGCAGCCGCTTTCCCGCATGGTATGGGCTGCTGTTTTGTTCTAATTCCGATTAAAAGTATTATCAAGTACTACTAGGTGACAACTTATTAGTACTAATTTGTATGCTTGTATCGCTTTTGAGATTAAATCACAGATACTGTACAGGGAAAGGAGTGTAGTAAGGACACCATTGTAATCAAGCATCACACATCCCCTGCCCGTTCATCCCTTTAGGTCAGAAATTTCTTTATCTCCCGCCTCCCCTCCTCGCCTCATCTGCCCCTCCTCTCATCCCCTCATCCCCTCATCAGCTCACTCTGCTGGACACAGCAACAGGTGCCCAGTCATCACACCTCTTCGTCAGCTGCTCAGCACTAGCTGCTGCATGCACATGGGCCGCCTTTGGCTTCGCTGCTCAAGACCACTTCATTGCTGTGAGTGCCCCTTGTGACAAGCCTTGTGAGGCGCCTAAAAAATCAGCTGTAGCTGCGGCATACACGTGGGCCGCCTTTGGCTTTGCCCCCCAAGACCACTTCATCGCTGTGAGATCCTCCCATGAGGCGTCTCAGAAGAAGCTCACAATGACTGCATTGCTGCGAGTGCCTCGTTCGTGGCGCCTGATATACCTACCATCTCTGGCTGCTACATACACGTAGGCTGCCTTTGCCTTGGCTGCACATGAAGTCCTCTTTGCTGTGAGTGCTCCTGTGATTCAGAGGATTGTTGTAGGCATAGAAAACGAAACATAGGAGCACAGAAACGTTCTCGGCGCATCACTGCTGTGTGAGTACCCGTTGATATTTTTTTTCTTCGCTTCTTTTGTCCTTTTTCGTATTTATGGATGGCCCAACCGGAACAAAAGTGTGACTTGCCTATCGTTGATTTCAGCCTTGTTGCTACTCTTCTTGAAGTCTTTTTTTTTTTTTAGAATTTTCACAAGTGCGAAGCCTTGCTCTCCGCCTCCCTCCCTCAAGCCCCCTTGCCTCAACTTTCTCTCTCCCGCTTTTTCTCTCCCTCTGCTTTTTCCTTGCCGTTTTTCGTTGCCATTCAGGTGCCGTATGTTGTGGCTGCAGCGCTTGAAGCCCTCTTTCTCGCTCTTTCCTCGTTCGTAGGGTGAGTGGGTCACAGTCACATCACCCTTAGAAGTCACCTCAACCCACGCTGTCTTGGCCCCGCCCAATGTCGTATGAACCGAACGCACTTCGCTTTCCTTTCTGAAATCCTCCTTTGGCTCTCTCTAAGCATCAGCTTCGGCAAGTCAGCTCTCGGCAAGTCAGCTCTCTCCTGCACAGTTGAAATATGCTCCTGCACACCCATCCTGTTTCCCTTGTCTCCCCTCCCATCCGCATCCCCTTCTGTTTTCACCCATCCCCATCCCCATTCAATCTCCTCCCATCCGCATCCATCCCCACCCGTATCCACCCCTCCTTCATTCCGACCGATCCCTGCCCATCTCCAACCATCCGCACCCCTCTCACAGTGCGGCCAGCAGTGCACCGTCACGGCAGAGGGCAGCAGAGGGGTATGAGCTGGTTGCCCCCACGGCTTCCGAGTCAGGCCTCACAGAGCAATCGCTGTAAGTCGTGACTTGTGAGCTGGCAGCAGAGGCAGCACAGAGCAGCATAGGGCAGCAGAGGGCAGCAGAGGGGTATGAGCTCGTTGCCCCCACGGCATCCGAGTCAGGCCTCACAGAGCAATCGCTGTAAGTCGTGACTTGTGAGCTGGCAGCAGAGGGCAGCAAAGACAGCACAGAGCAGCATAGGGCAGCAGAGGGCAGCAGAGGGGTATGAGCTCGTTGCCCCCACGGCGTCCGAGTCAGGCCTGACAATTCAATAACTGTGAGTGGCCGCTGCTGCTTGTATACCGCTTTTTTGAGACGTCTCATAACAGAACTCGCTGACAGCAGTGCAGCAGAGAGCAGCAGAGGGGTGTGTATTGTTGGAACAACTTTGTTCTAACATAACATGTATGAGTTGGTCGGCCCCATGGCATCAGAGTCAGGCCTGGCAGAGCAATCACTGTGAGTGGCCCCTGCTCAATCCTAAATACCCCTGTATACCGGTGTATACCCCTGTGTATGCTTGTATATACCCACTGTATCCTCCTGTATACCTATCATTTTGCTACTGCAGCTGCGATATCCCCACCCAGTCTCCCCTCCCATCCCATAGCACTTAGTCATCCTCTATGCTTGATTATTGTGCTGCGCTTGCTTGTATCACATCGCATGTGTGCAGAGACGATACACCGGATGAGTTTGACGAGTGGCTACAGATGGATGTGCTGCATGGCCGTAGACTCGCTTAAAGCTGCGGTCTACATACCTCCAGGGACAGGCCTTGGTTTATCACTTGAAAACCGGGTGAACCAATTACCTGTCCCTGGACTGGGGGTTCCCAAACCAATCGAGACCCTGTTCGATAGCAGGTGTCTCGCCTGCAACGGAACGGGATTAGGGAACTTTTAGCGGTTGCAAAATTTTGTCGCGTCTGGTTCGGGAAGAAACTCACAGAACCAACACCTCACGCCCCCGTTCCGTTAGGTTATCGAACAGGGCCCCAAACTTGACCTAGGGCTTCCGCCCTTCCGCACATTCTTCCCCCAACCCTTCCTCCCCTCACGAAATAACCAAATTTTCGCTTGATTCTGTTTTCACATCCCATCGTCCATAGCGAAACTGAGTAGTTCCGCCAATCTTTTTTGACTGGGTCGCACGCACAGTTCCGAGCGGGAGCCTGATCGCAAGCGAATCAACGTGTGTCAAAGGGTGTGCAATAGAAATACCCCCTAAAAGCACCCAGATGTATGTAGACCGCAGCTTTAGCAGCGGTAGGTACATAACAATGCAATGTAATAATAAGAGATGGAGGTTGAATGTGTACAGTGTTCAGATCTGCTTTAGTTTCAGAAAGATCTGGCTCTGTAACTCGAGCATTGGTGTGAAAAGAAGCAGTTGCGTTACTTATGGGAACACTAAGGAACCACTACCTACACATCAGGTACCTAGGAGGCATTTCACCCAGCCGAGGTGACTTTTGAGTCGACTCAAAAGTCACCTAGGAACCACTACCTCCACATCAGGTACCTAGGAGGCATTTCACCCAGCCGCATTACACACTGGCCCACTGGGTGGGTAGACAAGGGTTAAAAATATTACAGTAAAAACGGTGATACAATGGTGAAAGCAATCAGGACCTTATTATGTCCTGTACATGAGACATAACTTGTTCTTGCACCATCTACCGTAAAGAGCGCATCAGTGCACTGCACATTAACTCCAGCTCGAACCATTCCAGAACTTACCTAAGAGACACCCAAATCTGGCACCTCACCTCCTAATGGGTACAATCTAGATTCCAAACAACCAGCTTGGAAAACTGGCCAGCAGGCCGGCAGGCCAGCAGGGCATCTGCCCTGACTCTGAACATCCCTTGAGGCGCCTCAAAAGCCAGCAGGGCATCTGCCCTGACTCTGAACATCCCTTGAGGCGCCTCAAAAGCCAGCAGGGCATCTGCCCTGACTCTGAACATCCCCTCCTCCACTCCCCACCCTCGCATCATCACTCATCCATCGGTGCTCCGGCCTTCCTTTGGAAATCTAGCTGTGGGATATCTCACAATTTCCTGCAGTCTCTACTTTCCGGCTGCTGGCACGAGTCATCATCACCCACGCCACAGGCACACAGGTTACCCGCACTTTCCTCAGTGCCGTACACAGGGCAGAGGAGTCATGACCCACAGGCCACAGGTACACAGTGTCACCCTCGCCCCTGTGTTTCCGTCTTGATGTTCAGCTTGGTCGTATTGCTCCCCGAAGCTCGAACCATATGCACACACTCGTCCATGTCTTGAGGGCCCGCCAGCACCACCCACTCGCCGTCCTCGTCCAAATACTTGAGCGAGAATGCCCCCACAGGCACTCTCAGCCGGCTCACCACTTCCTCCTGCCTTTAGAGCCAGAAACAGGATTCACCCTCTCCCCTGTGCTTCTGCCTTGATGTTTAGCTTTATGGTATTGCTCCCCGAAGCTCGAACTATATGCACACACTCGTCCATGTCCTGAGGGCCGGCCAGCACCACCCACTCGCCGTCCTCATCCAAATATTTGAGCGAGAATGCCCCCACCGGCAATCTCAGCCTGCTCGCTACTTCATCCTGCACCAACTGGTAAGTTGAGGTGTTCAGTGCCACTCTGAACCGGATTGTATCGCCCCCGAACGTGGCCTTGATCGTTACCACTGACTGGGTCCCTCCTGCTGCTGCGGCTGCTCCTCCTGCTCCTCCTGCTCCGGTGCTTGCTGCTGCAGCAGAGGCAGAGGCAGCACCTCGGTCTGCCTCCCATAGATGTAGCGACGTGGTTGGGGCATGAGCACCGCCAGTGGCAGCACCACCAGTGCCAGCACCACCAGCACCCCCAGCAGCCCCTCTACCCACGAACCCACCCTGCCCGGCCCCTCCCGTGCCTGCGTGCCGAAGGGCAGCCATGTCGGCAGCACAGGGCGCACCACCACGTAGCCGTCCCCCTACCCCCCCTAAAGCGCCCTCATGCCCCTCAAACCCTCCCCTGCCTCCCCCTGCTGCCCCTCCGCCTCCCTGCCCGTCCCTGCCCCCTCCTGTGTGCCCCTGCCCCTGCTGCCCTTGCTGGTGGCCCTGGTGGTCGTTGGAGTGGTCCCCTGCAATGGGCTGGTAGCTGCGTAGAGCCACAAACGCTGACCGCCCCCCGTGCACCCGCGTCTCCTCCCTTTGCTGCCCTCTGCCCCCACCCCCAGCGCCACCAGCACCAGCAGTGGCAGCTTCAGGCTGCTGCTGCTGCTGCTGCTGCTGCTGCTGCTGGTGTTGAGGGTGCTGCTGCTGCTGTTGCTGTTGTTGCAACCATTGCTCTGCAGCCCCACCCCCTGCCGTGCCTGCTTGCCCACCCAGGCTCATCCCCAGCTGCCCGTCCCTCTCTCCCTCCCCACCACCGCCTCCCCCACCCCCTCCCCCCTCCTGTCTCCCCACCCCCATCCCCTCCCCTGCATCCCCCTCTCCCCTTCCCCCTGTCACCGTCCCTCCAACCAGCCCAATTTCCTCGTCACTCCTCCGAAGCAGACTGGCCAATAGGCTCGTGCCATGTGTCGTGCCCTCGTCATCCCCCCCAGCAACCGCCCCACTTGCTCTCTGCGTCCCGGCTCCATTCTTAAGACTCAAAGCAAGGCTCAGATTGGAATTAGACGGATCACGCGGAATCGGCAGCTTGCCAGGTGGCGGCGTCCTATTCGCCACGTGCACCCCCCCTGCGCTTCCAGCCATTCCTCCATGCATCGACCCGCCAGCTTGGTTCGGCCCCAGGCCTCCTCCCGAACCTCCGCTCCCGCCAGGTCCGGCCATACCTGCAGCAGCGGCAGCAGCAGCAGCAGCAGCAGCAGGGCCTGCATATGCCCCCCCATGGGGTGAACCCATCATCATATGGGCCCCATGGCCTGAACTCCCTGCAAAGAAATATCCACCATGATGTGACCCCCCTGCTTGCATGCCTGCTGCCATGCCAGGAGCACCCATGCCACCCATACCCATGCCAGCAGCAGCTTGCATACCAGCCATGATCCCCCCGTGCATTGACCCTCCGCCATGCATGGACCCTCCTCCCCCATGCATAGAACTCCCAACATGAGCCATGTGTGGGCCAAGGGCAGAGCTACCCATGAGGATATACCCCCCCTGCACTGGCCCCCCTGGAAACGGCCCGTGATTTGATCCTGCTCCCGCTGCTGCAGCCAGTAGCGCCGCGCCATGTGTTGACCCGCCCGCTCCCCCAAACGCATTTCCCCCATGTGCCGAACCTCCTGCGAACGCCATGCCTCCGTGCGTCGAACCTTCCGCGAACGCATTCCCACCATGTGCCGAACCTCCCGCAAACACCATCCCCCCGTGCCCCGAACCACCCACGCCCATGAACGGGCCGTGCGCCGACCCTCCTGCAAAGTGCCCATGCGCCGAACCTCCAGCCATGGCAAGAGGTCCGTGCGCCGAACCTCCCGTGGCTAGGGGCCCATGTGCCGAACCTCCAGGTCCGTGCGCCGAGCCTCCGACCATATGGTCGAGCATAGAGGGATGGCGATTCCCAGGCCAGGGAAGGGACTGGAAGGAGGTGGAGTTGAAACCAAAAGAGGGAGCTGGGAGCATAGTGGAACCTCCTGGTACATGTGCTTGTTGCCCTTGCCCGCCCCCTCCTGCTGCCGCTGCTGCTGCTGCTGCCGCTGCTAATGCTTGGTTTGAAAATGCTGGGGAGTTGGATGACCCTCCGATCTGGTAGGTTGGGGAGTGGAGGATAGGGGGAAGAGAAGGAGAGACATGAAGGAAGGGAGAAATTGGAGTTTGTTGGGATTTTGCCAAAGCTGAGTTGAAATATGGCAGGATACGGCTAAGACACAAGGGACAGACAGAAGCGTCAGGTAAGGAGCTTAGATAGTCGAGGTGCATGGAATAACAATTGCTTCACCTCACACTGCTGTCCTATCCCTAACTCAAAACCTAACCCTAACCCTAACCCTAACCCTAACCCTAATCCTAACCCTGACCCTGAACCCTAAACCAGGTCTTCCTCCCGTACCTGGGCCCCCGTGACCGCCTTGACCGCCGCGGCGGTCGCCAACTCAGACGTGATGGCGTCCAATCGCAGCGCGCCAGCTGGCACCTGCACGGACTCGATCACGTCCTGCAGCTTCTGAATGCTCCTTGACACCTTGTTGATCTTGCGGGAGGGCCACCGCGCTATGCCGTGCTGCCTGCATATCCTTTTCAAGGTTGTGGGGCACACTGGAAGGAAGAAGGGGGAGCGGGGGCGCGACAGGCAGAGGGAAGGGAAGATGGCAATGAGGGGCGGGCTCAGCTCGCCACCACAACAACGAACGTGCACACAAAAGCACGTCCAGGCAGGTTCTATAAGACGCTTCAAAGTGGAGGCCTGCAGCTTCTGAATGCTCTGAGACACCTTGTTGATCTTGCGCGACGGCCACCTGGCAATCCCATGCTGCCGACAGATCCGCTTCAGTGTGGTGGGGCACACTGGATGGGTCCAAGGGGGGGGGGGGGGGGTGGGGGAAGGAAGGAGGGACACACGCTGGCTGGATGCTCCTTGACCTTAACTCACACCTTGTTGATCTTGCGCGACGGCCACCTGGCAATCCCATGCTGCCTGCATATGCGCTTCAATGTGGTGGGGCACACTGGGTGTCCAAGGGGGGGGAGTGGGGAAGGAAGGAGGGACACGCTCCTGAAGAAGGCTCGAAGAGCCGAAACTAGCTACCGCAAAATTCCTTTTCACAAGGGTTTTTTACAAGCAAGCCTACAACAAACAAAACATCTGTTTTGCTAAAAGCTGCAGCCACGCAAAGTCATGGCTCCTGTTTGGGGCTCTATTGGACACCTTGTTGATCGTGTGGCATTGCCACCGCGCTATGCCATGCTGCCGACAGATCCTTCAGTAGCAGGAACCCCAAGACTCATCTCCCATCAGAGCGCACACCACACTCACACCACACTCACACCACACTCACACCACACTCACACCACACTCACACCACCACCACGCACACTGCCCACCCCTCCTAGCAACCCACCTCCCAGCGCCTTAGCAGCGTCCTTGAGGCTCCCTGCAAAGTACTGCTGCAGCACTTCCAGACCGATGCTCTTCTCGTTGCACAACCCCCCAAAACCACACCTCACCAACCCCAAAGCTCACCTCCCAATGCCTTAGCAGCGTCCTTGAGGCTGCCCGCAAAGTACTGCTGCAGCACGCCCAGACTGATGCTCTCGACCCACCACCCCCCTCAAGGTGCACCCAACGATCCCCAAAGCTCACCTCCCAGCGCCTTAGCAGCGTCCTTGAGGCTGCCTGCGAAGTACTGCTGCAGCACGCCCAGACTGATGCTCTTCTCGTTCGTCCCCCCCCTCCGCTTCTCCCCCTTCTTCACCCCCCCTTTCGGCCCCCCCTCCGCCCCTCCCGCCCTCTCCTCCCGCCCTCCTCCTCCCCCTGTCACATCCTCCTCTACCCGCATTCCCCCCTGCCTTCCCCCTTCCGCCCCTCCTGAAGGCTGCCCCGAGCTTGCCCCATCTGGTGTCCCCTCCAACGCCCCTCCCCCCTCGTCCAGGCTGTCACCACTCCTGTCTGACGTGGTAGGGAGACCTGATTGGTTGGCTTGGTCAAGGGCGGCAGGTGCAGCTGCAGCCTCCCTGCCGCCCAACCCAGGGTCAAAAGAGGCAGCATGGGCGGCAGGGGCGGCAGGGGCGGCAGACATGGGCCCTGCAGGGGGGACAGCTGGAGGACCTGAGCTTTCACCTGAGAACGCGTCTTCAGGTAGAGGCGGCATGGCCTGCATGCCTATGCTTGTGCCCATCCCACCTGCATTGATGTTGATGCTACTGCCACCACCCATGCCCGATCCCATGCCCGTTCCCATGCCCGCTCCCATGCCCGTTCCCATGCCCGCTCCCATGCCCGCTCCCATGTGTGTTCCCATGCCTGTTCCCATGCCCATGAGTGTGGTTGGGGCTACTCCCATCTCCCCCTGCTGCTGCTGCTGCTGCTGCTGCTGCTGTTCGGAGAAACCACCTTCGGCCCAAGCATTGCTAATACCGCCACCACCATTACCCATACTCCCATCTCCATTTCCCACTACCCCACCATTCCCCACGCCCCCATTATCCCCCTCCTCCCCACACCCTAATCCATTCCCTCCAAGCCCCACAGCCATTCCTCCTGCACCCGCCGCAATAGAACCGTTCCCCAGCGCCACATCATCTGTGCCATTGCCAGGTGGCATGCTGTGAGCGAGTGGTGTACCGTGAGCCAATGGCGTGACTGCCGAACCTTCACAGAGCTCAGCCATTGCTGCGGCTTCAAACGGACTGCTCTCCCCCACTCCATTATCCCCCACTCCGGTCTCCCCCATACCCACACCTGTGCCCTCACACATCCTCGCTCCTTCCCCCTCCCCTCGTTCCTCCACTCGCCTCCTCTTCACCTCCCTACCTCTCTTCTCCGGAGTCTCGCCCCCCTCCCTTGCTCCCTTCACCCCCACACCCCTCACCACACTACCTCCCTCCGACACCCCTTCCCCCACCAACCCCTTCCCCTTCCCTCCCCCCCACGCTCCCCCTCTCATCTCCACCCCCCCACCTCCCATCACCGACCCGCCAGCTACCGAGCCTCCCGCCCCCGCGCCACCCGTCCCCGACCCTGACCTTGTGCCCCGACTACCCCCACTCTTCCCGGACCTACTCCTCACCATCTCCTGCACAGTCACCGTCCTGAGGCTCCGACACGCCTCCTGCATGCTCTGCGACAGCTGCGTCAACAACCGCTGCTGCTCCTCCTTCTCCCTGCACCCCGGCGGCAGAAAGAACTCCAAAACATAGTCCATATCTTTACTCAAAACCGACCGAAGCCGGATGGCAACGGCGGCTCGGAGCCCGAACATGCGCGCGTAGTGCACTAGAGGGTACTGCTCCTTGGTGAGGAGCTGGAGATCGTCGCAGAAGGCGGGGGCGTTGGAGGTCATGGCTCGGCCGGGGCAGCCCTGTGCTGCCTGTAACTGGTGCTCGCAGCACGCCTGGCGGAACCCCCACATGCGGAGGTCTGCCACGCAGCTCGGCATGTCTGCTGTGAACAGTGTTACTGCGTCCTCCTCCCCTTGCTCCTCCTCCCCTCCTTGCTCCTCCCCTCCCTGCTCCTCCCCTCCCTGCTCCTCCCCTCCCTGCTCCTCCCCTCCCTGCTCCTCCCCTCCCTGCTCCTCCCCTCCCTGCTCCTCCCCTCCCTGCTGCTCCCCTCCCTGTTCCTCCTCCCCGTCTCCTGCCCCTCCTCTCCCCGCTGCTTCTCCTCCTTTACCCGCTCCACCAACATGAAACACCTCAAACACGTCTTCCTGTAAGCTCCCCACGTCAACTGCGCCCTTTCCCCGCCCCGCCCCCTCTCGTCGCATGCTCCACCCCGCCCTCACACTGCTCCGCATGCTCGCCCCTACCGGCCCCGCGCTCCCCCGAGCCAGCCCCCGAGCCGCAGGCTCGGCAGCGGCGGGAGGTTCGGTGAGGCGGACCCAGGAGGAAGGGATCCAGGTCTGGGCGAGGGGGAGCGAGTGTTTGTCGCAGAGTGAGGAGAGCACCTCGTGTATCTCGGTTAAGACGGCTCCCCTGCCCGGGAAGGGCATCTGGAAGGGAGAGAAGGCGGGTGGGGGAGAGGAGAAGAGGGCAACGCAAACAAAGAGTAAGACATGGCTTGCAGGGAGGGAGTGCTGGTCGCGAAGCGGGCAGAGCAAGCAAAGCGGGCACAGCAAGCAAAGCGGGCAGAGCAAGCAAAGCGGGCACAGCAAGCAAAGCGGGCAGAGCAAGCAAAGCGGGCAGAGTACCTCATAGCAGGAGAAAGAGGCAGCGAGGAAAGGCGTGAGGGGCTACTTCGAAACACACGATGGTATGTAATCCTCAGAAACATAGGATGCGGACTGGACTAGCAGTGAGACACATGAGCCTACCTCTGCTGGAAGATGGTCCCATGCGCGAATGCTAGTCAGGTCCACCGTCTGTGGGGTGGGGTGGGGATGGATGGGGTTGGATGGGATTAGGTGGGGTGGGTGGCGGAAGGATACCAAAGATAAAGGCGGAGTGGGAATACAGCAAGGCATGTGAGGGGGAATACAGCAAGGCATGTGAGGGGGAATACAGCAAGGCATGTGAGTGGGAATACAGCAAGGCATGTGAGGGGGAATACAGCAAGGCATGTGAGGGGGAATACAGCAAGGCATGTGAGTGGGAATACAGCAAGGCATGTGAGTGGGAATACAGCAAGGCATGTGAGGGGGAATACAGCAAGGCATGTGAGTGGGAATACAGCAAGGCATGTGAGTGAGAATACAGCAAGGCATGTGAGTGGGAATACAGCAAGGCATGTGAGTGGGAATACAGCAAGGCATGTGAGTGGGAATACAGCAAGGCATGTGAGTGGGAATACAGCAAGGCATGTGAGTGGGAATACAGCAAGGCATGTGAGTGGGAATACAGCAAGGCATGTGAGTGGGAATACAGCAAGGCATGTGAGTGGGAATACAGCAAGGCATGTGAGTGGGAATACAGCAAGGCATGTGAGTGGGAATTGTGCACGTTGCGGCAGCACATGGTACTGGAAAATGGTTTATGAATGTGTCACAACCTCTCTGCAACACCCCAAATCCCTATACATCCCTCTGCACCGCACTGCACCGCCATCTCACCTGCAGTGCGTCGCACACATCATAAATCTGTGGACCAAACCCCACATCCTCCGCCATCATCACCAGCTCCACCACTGCTCTCTGCTTCCACAACGCCCCCAAGACCACATGCACCGGTTTGCACCACACTGCACCCTCTATCCAGACCACAAGCACCCCTCAGCACCGCACTGCAACCCGCCATCTCACCTGCAGTGCGTTGCACACGGCATCAATCTGTGGCCCGAAGCGCACGTCCTCGCCCATCATCACCAGCTCCACCACCGCCACCAGCTCCTGCCTCCAAGACGCCCCATCCCCCCCCCAGACCACATGCACCCCTCTGCACCGCACTGCACCATCCTCTATCTCACCTGCAGCGCGTTGCACACAGCATCAATCTGAGGGCCGAAGCGCACGTCCTCGCCCATCATCACCAGCTCCACCACCGCCACCAGCTTTTTGCATTCCCAGACAATCACCCCGCACCACATGCACCCCTCTGCACCGCACTCAACCTCCGCCTCACCTGCAGCGCGTTGCACACGGCATCAATCTGTGGCCCGAAGCGCACGTCCTCGCCCATCATCACCAGCTCCACCACCGCCACCAGCTCCTGCCTCCTCCTCCCCCTCACCCCTCCCCCCTCTCCCTTCACCACCATCACCTTCCCCCCACTCTCCCCTTCATCACCCTCCCCCTCCCCCTCGCGCTCCCCTCCCGCCTCCCACTCCCACCCGCCTTTGCTACTCCCGCTGCTGCCCGTCCCCCAGCTCTCCCCTCCTCCTTCCCCCGCCTTCCCCTTCCCCTTTCCCCTTCCCTCATTCCCCAAGACTCTGAAAATGGGCACAGCCAGAGCTCCGCGCACGTTGCAGCGAGTGGCGTGCGCCACGCGGAGGTACTCGTCCCGCGAGTAGTACTGCACGTTGGGCGTCCACTCGGGGCGACCAGACACGAAGACGCGGCCTGGCAGGCCCAGGTACCCGCTGCCAGACAAGGGGAATGTGTAGCTGGGGGAGAGGGGGAGAGGGAAGGGGGGAGGAGGGTGGAGGTTCAGGTGGGGCAGGAAGTCGGGTGTAGCGTGGGCCACTCGGAGGTATTCGTCCCGCGAGTAGTACTGCACGTTGGGCGTCCACTCGGGGCGACCAGACACGAAGACGCGGCCTGGCAGGCCTAGGTACCCGCTGCCAGACAAGGGGAATGTGTAGCTGGGGGAGAGGGGGAGAGGGAAGGGGGGAGGAGGGTGGAGGTTCAGGTGGGGCAGGGAGTCGGGTGTAGCGTGGGCCACTCGGAGGTATTCGTCCCGCGAGTAGTACTGCACGTTGGGCGTCCACTCAGGCCTACCCGAGACAAATACGCGCCCTGGTAAACCCAGGTACCCGCTGCCAGACAGGGGGAAGGTGTAGCTGGGCGGGTTCGGTGGGGATTGGGGGGAGGGGGGGAGGGTGGAGGGGAGGAGGGGAGGGGAAAGGGAGTCAGGCGTGGGCCACTCGGAGGTATTCGTCCCGCGAGTAGTACTGCACGTTGGGCGTCCACTCGAGGCGACCAGACACAAACACCCGGCCTGGTAACCCCAGGTACCCGCTGCCAGATAATGGAAAGGTGTAGCTGTAAGGTTGTTGGGGAATACGGGGAGGGGAGGTAAAGGTAAGGAGGGGGTGAATCAGGCGTGGGCCACGTGGAGGTACTCGTCCCGCGAGTAGTACTGCACGTTGGGCGTCCACTCGAGGCGGCCGGATACGAAGACCGACCTGGTGGTAACCCGAGGAACTTAAAAAGCCTAGCGAGGCAGCTCACTTGGTGGCGATGGTGCAACATCCCCTCTTCTCGCTCCTCCCTCCCCTCCCTTTTGCAGCTCACTCGGTGGACATGGTGCAGTAAACGCGCAGCTTCTTCGAAGGTATCCCCTCCCCTCGGCCCCGCACCACCCCACACCACCACCGCCACCCTCGCCCCCCCACCACCACCGTCATCCCCTCCCCCCTCACTCACTTGGTGGAGATGGTGCGGTACACGCGCAGCTTCTCACTGCCCTCCATGAGCACAAACGGCTGCTCGCGCGTGCTCAGCACACGCTGCCCCTCGTGCCACGTGGGGAACCACACCTGCGCCAGCAGGTCTCCGCGCGACTGGGGTGTTTCAGGGGGGAAAAGGATGACGGGAGAGGTAAAGAAAGAATTCTGTCGTGAGAGGGGAGACGAGGGAGAGAGAGTACCATGTAGGGAACCAAACTTGGGCCTTTCATCTGCGTACTCAGCACCAGACCCCTTTCCCCCTCAGCACACCTTCTCCCCCCGAGGACTGTCTCCCCCCTTCCCCCTTGCTTTTCCCCAAACCACCAGCCCAACTCCCCCCCAATGCGCACACACACCTGGCAGAGGCTTCTGAGAGCCTTCTCTATCCGCACCCGCAGCCCCGGAACCCTCTCTGCGCGCGGGCCCCCCGCCACCTGCAGCACATTCCTCGGGGGAGCGCACACCAGCTGCCCCGCGCCTCCTCTCCCGCCCGCGCCCCTTCCCCCTCCCCATCCCCCCGCCCCGCTCCCCGCGCCCCTGACCAGAACCCCAGCCTTGGAATCCTCCTGCTGCTCGTTCCCCTCCTGCCCGTCTGCGAGCGATCCCGCGCAGCTGAGCGGGTGGGGCGAGGAGAACATGGATAACAGCGACACGAAGTTGGGGGAGTCGGGGCACATGAGCGCGGAACCCGTGGGGACCATGAGGGAACCCGCGGGCGCCATAAGGGCGGAACCCGCGGGGGCCATGAGCGCGGAGCTGCTGGGTCCGCCAGTGATGAACAGGTCGCCGTTAGGCTGCGCGGAAAAGGTGGAAATCTCCAGAATATCCGCCTCTCCTGCTGCTGCCCCTGGCCCACTTGCTCCTGGTACTCCTACGATGGCTGTAGCTGCTGCTGTAGCTGTAGCTGAAGCTGATGCTCCTGTTGCCGCCGGTCCTGCGGAAGGTGACAACACGTCAGCGTGGTTCAAGGGGACTGAAGTGCTGGCTTCTGGAAGGGAGGCCGGCGCTAGCTGCTGCTGCGAATTTTCAATTTGCTGCGCTGGCTGCCGCTGCGAGTGCTGCGGCTTGTCTTGCGAATTCTGACGACGCTGCATCAGCTGCTGCTGCTGCTGCAGCCGCTGATGTGCCTCCTGTGAATGCTTCTCCTGCTTCAGACGCTGCAAGGGCGACGCTGACCGCTGCTGCTGATGCCCACCCGGCGCAGCCTCTGGATGCTGCTCAGGGTGGTGACGGGACGGATCCAGCACTCTCTGCTTCTGCCGCTGGCTCGACGCATTCCACATGCCGTCTGCCGCAGCAGTGGCAGCAGCAGCGGCCACTGCCGCTGCTAGTAACCCGCCGTTGCTCGCCTCCTGACCGAGCTGCACCGCTGCTGAAGCTGCTGTTCCTAAAACAGCAGAGGCGGATGCCGCTGTTGCTAACGGGTGCTGGGACTGACGTAGCAATTCCAGTTGCTGCTGCTGGTGCTGCTGCAACAACGAATCCTGATACTGAGACGCCGCGGCTTGCTGCTGCTGTTGCTGCTGCTGCTGCTGCTGTTGCTGTTGTCGCTCCATGAGCATCTGCAATAGAGCCATGTTATGCTGCTGCTGATGCTGCTGCTGCTGCTGCTGCTGCTGCTGCTGCTGCTGCTGAATTGCCAAAAGGCGGGATTCCTCATCTATCTGGCGCTGCATCTGCAATTCGCGAAGAAAATTCTGCGGAGCGGAAGAGGCTAAGGCGGACGAGGCTGCTAAGGCGCGCGATTGGATCTGGTGGAGCTGCGATAGCGCACCTAATTGCATCGCTTGGTCGTGACCTAATTGCGACATCAGCGCCTGCTCCTGAAGCTGCGACTGCAGCTGTTGCTGCTGCTGCTGCTGTAGCGGCTGCTCGAGCCATGATTGAGGTGTCAGAGGGAAGGCATCAGGACGCGGGAGAGTGGTGGTTTGGGGAAGGGATTGGCCGGCAATAGGAGGTGCTAAAGGATGCCGAATTGTCGCGCCGAAAAAGTCCATCGCGAGGATAACGGTGGTACAAATTGATAACTAGATCGAGTCGCGAGTGAGCTCAGCTTGACAGCCACGCGCTAGGCACGAAACGCGGATGAGTTTTGGTCCATGGAAGGTGAGGTGGGGGTGGGGTGAGGTAAACTGTCGCTCTAGGTAGGACACAGGTTCGGTTTGATCACGCCGCTTCTGCAGCGCAGGGGAAGAGGGAGAGGGAACAAAAGGTGAAACAAACTATACAGCCGTCAGCAAAAAGCAGATGAAGCTCTCGAGTGACATTCGCACGAGAGAGAGAAACTAGTGGTGGAAGATAAGCTGACCAATCAGTCGCATCGCAGTTCTCGAAGTGAACAGAAGCAGCAGCATCGCATTACTCAAACCCTAACCGAAAGAACGCCCCATCAGCCATTCAAGTTGGCTTTTCGAAGAGCGAGGAGAAGCAGGAACATGCTATCCTCGATACTCGCCTCTTCATTTCGAAGCAAGCAAGATAAACCAGCCTGGCATATCAACGTTTCGCGTGAGCAACATTCTACCACCCCTGCCTTGCCCAAAATCAAGGCCAGGTGGCAGTGGGGGGACCACAAGCCAGCCAGTCATACCTCGTGGTTTGGAAGGGTAGCGAATGGAAGTGGCTAAAAGAGCTGGCGCGGCGCGAAATTTGACCAATGGGTGAGAACGAGTCTTGGTTTTGCCGTGTCATTTCGCTACAGCAAAGCATCCTTCACACCATCGGAACACCACCAACCTCAAAATCTGCTGCAAGTGTTTTTATGCTTGGTATATCCACTAGATATAGAAACTCCACAGAACACTTCCTCCTCCTTTCATCAACCATATCCACCTCATAGCCGCTTATTATGGATGCTAGTTTTCACAAATCAGCCGCAATTATATCAGAAGTAGGGCATAACCTCCAACTCGTCCATTGATACATCTTGCAGCTCGAATATATGACTTGACCGAATAATCAATACGCAAAATATCTACAAATTGATATAATATGACGAGGAGATTTGAAAAATACCATGATAAGGTACAATTCAGAATGTCAACTTGTACTAGCTTAGCAGCTACATGAATTCCTAATATTGCAAAGACGGAACGCTGTCCGCGTTTAGAAGATGCGCGTGAAATAGGTCAGAGTGGTTGAGGACTCACAGCAGTGGCAATGAGAAACCCTGCACTTCTAGCCATGTCGCGTCTTCAGTAGTTATTCGTAGCTAGACGGTCTGATAGTTCGAGCGTGTTATTCTGACGTCCTTTAAGTCGACTGAGATGGCCGGATGGGCCTGCCGGCGCGGCTGGCCGGCATTAGGGTTAGCGGCGTTGCTCTGTCTCGGTGCTCTGACGAGATGTTCGGCCGCTGCAGACGATGACGAGGAGGAAACCATTTCCGGGAAAACGGGAAATTACCTGTCAGGTCAGTGCACGATGTTTCCTGAGCATTTTCGGTCACCGATGTCAGCGCACGAAAAGGCACCTAATCCAGCCGGTTTAGACCCCAGAAAGCCCGCTGCTTGTCTCCGCGAGGTTGGTACTGATGGGTAGCATTCGCAATCGGCAATCTCGAGGTTGATTCATTGGTCCATCAGTAGGGCTGTTAGAGTCGTGGCAAATGCAATGTCGATTCCTGCTGATGTCAGCCGAGCGTCAGCCGGCCACAGGAGTCTTCCTTCCACGTGGCAAAGCTTCCGTCGTCACTGTTTTCAACCATCGTCATTAGCAGTACCATTATCACCTTCGGAGCCCGAGAACCGAACCTTATGCATGCCACGCCGAACCACGCGCCGAGCCGGACGCCGAGCCACACGCCGAGCCACAGACCGCGTCACACGCAGAGTCACACGCGACCGTATAACTTCTATACTTTCTCTAATTTCTTCCCAACTCCCGTCCCTCCCCTTTCTACCCCGCTCCCCATTCTCCCACTCTGCGCCAATCAGACGCTGCCAAGTGGACATGGCCAGTGGTCAACGAGCCGGGAACGGAAGCGTCGGTGTACAAGGTTCTCTCCTCGTACGTCGCTTTCCATCCCTCCTTCCGTTGCATTGCACATCAGTATTTGTTTGGTTTCGTTTCTCCTTACGTTCGTTCGCTGGGCGAAACAAGCCACATCGGTGAACGTTGTGACGTCAAAGCTGAGTTGTCGTGAACTTCCCACCTGGAAAGGCACCTGAAGGACACTCTCTCACCCTCCCTCCCCCCCGCCCCCCTTCCCCTGTCTCCCATTCCCATCCTTCCCCCAATCCCCCCTCCTCTCCCTTATTTCCCGCAGCTGGTGCGGCAACGCGTATGAGGAGATGGTGAAGCGTGTGGAGCGCAAGGCGAGGGATGGGTTGACCACCACTTCCCCTCCCAGCACTTCCCCCTCTTCTCTGGTCTCCCCCCTCTCCCTTCTAACTGCTGCAGCTGGTGCGGCAACGCGTACGAGGAGATGGTGAAGGGGAGGGAGGCGAGGCAAGGCGTAGTGAAGGACTCTCTCTCCTCACTCCCCTCCCCTCCCCCTATTTTTTTTTATTATACGGGGAGGCGCAGCTGGTGTGGCAATGCATACGAGGAGATGGTGAAGGACGCAGCGTGCAGGGCGAGGAATGCTTGACTGTCACGTCACCACTACCCCTGCCCCTTCCTCCTCCCCCCTTCTGGCTCAACCCCTCGTTCTCCCCCTTTCTTTCCCGCAGCTGGTGCGGCAACGCGTACGAGGAGATGGTGAAGGACGCGGAGCGCAAGGCGAGGGACCACGAGCGGCTGAAGCTGGAGCGGGACCAGCGGTTTCAGGAGTGGATGCAGTGCCGCCAGGAGAAGTTCATTAAAGAAAAGGTGGGCTTTAATGGGAAAGGTGGGCTTCGATGGAATAGGTGGGCTTTAAAGGATAAGGGAGGGCTGCTGGTTTTTGCACTGCTTTGTTTGTATCGCGTTGTGGAAGCACCAATGAAGGGACCAGCGGTCTGGCGATTGGATGCAGTGCCGCCAGGAGAAGTTCATTAAAGGGAAGGTGGGCTTTAATGGAGAGGGTGGGCGGAGAAGGTGGGCTTCAAAGGAGAAGGTGGGGTGTTCTTTTTCCTGCTGCGCTGCTCTGCAAGTCTCATAACCCGATTTCCATGCTCAAGTTACTCGCTTGTTCTGTGCACAGTGCACTCCACCCCCCACGCCCATCACCAGGAGCTAGAGGCGGAGTGTGACAAGTTGCGCAAGCTGCAGGCGAGTTCTCTGAGACGTCTCAGCGTGGACATTCATCCCCTCTGTTCTTTCCACCGCATTCCACCTCATTCCACCGCATTCCAGGAGCTAGAGGCGGAGTGTGAGAAGGTGCGCAAGCTGCAGGCATTGCGTACCCTTGCTCAATTTCTTGCCATCCCCTGTGTGTTCTGCTACCCCTCACGGCCATCACCAGGAGCTGGAGGCAGAGTGTGAGAAGGTGCGCAAGCTGGTGTTGGGGCGTCTCAAACGTAGCCCTTGCTGTCTCTCTTTCTATGTGTGCTCCCTCCACCCCTCACGGCCATCACCAGGAGCTAGAGGCGGAGTGTGAGAAGGTGCGCAAGCTGCAGGGGTCGGAGTTTGACCGAGAGAGGCTGGTGATGCGCGCTGAGTGTGACATGGAGCTCACTCTGCTGCGCGCTGAGCTGGACGCCTGTGAGATCAAGGTGCGTGCGTTGAGATGGGATGGCATAGGATCAAGGTGCGCAAGGGGTGGGTGGGTGGGTGATGAGGTGAATAAAGGTGTGCAGTAAGGTTGGGATGAGATTAAGGGGTGTGCTATCAGGATGCAATGAGATGAGATTGGTGAAAGGAGAGAGAGGCTGGTGTGGTGTGGTGTGGTGTGGTGTGGTGATGCGCGCTTGAGGGCGACATGGAGCTCACTCACTCTGCTGGACGCCTGTGAAATGCAGGTGCGTGAGTCACTCAGGATGCAAAAAGGTGAGATTGGGGCAGGGAAAGAGAGAGAGAGGCTGGTGATGCGCGCTTGAGGGCGACATGGAGCTCACTCACTCTGCTGGACGCCTGTGAAATGCAGGTGCGTGAGTCACTCAGGATGCAAAAAGGTGAGATTGGGGCAGGGAAAGAGAGAGAGAGGCTGGTGATGCGCGCTTGAGGGCGACATGGAGCTCACTCACTCTGCTGGACGCCTGTGAGATCAGCGTGCGTGCATTTGGGGTGGGATGTGATGGGATGAACTTAAATCAAGGTGCCTGCCTGCCCTGCACCCAGGATGTGATGAGACGAATCAAGGTGTGGTGGAGCTGGCCCTGTGCGACCATGCCGGCCTGGGCCTGGGAGCCAACCAACTGCACGGCGAGCCAACTGCCACTGCAACCAAGTCACGTCCGCTTCCCGACTCCCTTCCTCACCTCCCTTTTCCACCTCCCTCCCTCCTGCCCCCACCCCACACGCACCCGAGTTGAGCAACAAGGAGAGGGCGGTGTGCGAGAGAGAAGTCCTCGTCGAGAGAGCTCTGTGCGACCATGCGAAGCGCGGCCTGGAGGCCAACAACACGGCATGCAAGCATCGCACGCAGGTCACCGACCTCACGCGCCTGGCCGAGCTGGAGGACACCCCCAGGCACGCGTCGTGATCGCCTCTGAGGTTACCCTCACTCGTCCCCTCCTTTATCCCTTCCACCCTCTCCCTTATCCTCTCCGCAACTACCCCAGCTAAGCAACAAGGAGAGAGCAGTGTGTGAACGGGAGGTAGTGGTGGAGCGCGCTCTGTGTGACCACGCGAAGAGGGGTCTGGAGGCCAACACCACGGCGTGCAAGCACAGCACCGCACGCAGGTCACGGACCTCACCCGCCTGGCTGAGCTGGAGGGCACGGCTGAGCGACACTGCACCCAGGCACTTCTACCCTCCTCTCCCAAACTCCCCTCCTCACCTCCCCTCCCAAACTCCCCTCCTCACCTCCCCTCCTCACCTCCCCTCCCAAACTCCCCTCCTCACCTCCCCTCCCAAACTCCCCTCCTCACCTCCCCTCCCTTATCTTCTCTCCCACCTACCCCAGTTGAGCAACAAGGAACGGGCAGTATGCGAGAGGGAGGTTGTGGTCGAACGGGCCCTATGCGACCATGCGAAGCGCGGCCTGGAGGCCAACAACACGGCGTGCAAGCACCGCACGCAGGTCACCGACCTCACCCGCCTGGCTGAGCTGGAGGACACGGCGGAGCGGGCGGCGAGTGACCACGAGGAGTGGGCGGCGGAGAGGGGGCGGCTGCGCAAGGAGCTCAAGGCGTGCCGCCCGGCGAGGGCGCATGCGGAGGCGCGGCTGAGGGAGGTGCTGGCGGATGGGACAATCGACTCTTTAGAGCACACTGTCGTGTGGCTGCAGGTATGCTTTTGAGATTTCTAAAAAGCTGCGCAAGCACCTCAAGACGCCTGGGGCGAGCGCATGCAGAGGTGCTGCTCCGGGAAGTGCTGACGGATGGGACGATCGATTTGCTGGAGCACACTGTTGTGTGGCTGCAGGTGGGTGTGGTGCGAGCGAGCGCATGCAGAGGCGTTGTGCTCGCGCCACACCCATCGGGAAATGAGCTCGTTTTCTTGCTTCTCCGTACCAGACAGCTTTGGGCCTTGCTGTCGTGTTGCTCACCTCCTTATCCGCTCACAATATGCCATGGCATCTTGGCATTCTTTTCTCATTACCATCTTCCCCCCACCTCTGCCCCTCGCACGATGGATCCGTTGCTGTGTGTGTGTGCAGGTGCTGCTGGGAGTGCAGGCGTTGGTGCTGCTTGTAATGCTCTCCTTCCTCTTCTTCCTGCTGCTGCACGGTATGCATGCTCTTTGAAACACACTAGAAATCACTAGAAATCACTGCACATGAAAAAGGGTTTTTATCCTTTGCCATGCCATTCCATGCCATGCCATGCCATGGCGTGCCGTGCCATGCCCTGCCATGACATGCCCCCTTTCTTTGACGCCTTGCTCCTCCATCTCGTTTCCAAGCGTCCCTTCCTACGCAGAGAAGAGCCTATGGTGGGCAGGCAGTGCAGCCAGCGTAAAACTCGCGGCTGGTGCCAGCGTAATCTTGGCGAGGGAGACTATGTCATGCCCCCATCTTACTCCACCCATGCTACTCTTACTCTATCCTACTCATTCTCTTTTCCACTCCCCCACCTCTCCCTTCAGACCAGAATCCCACAGAGTCCTGTGTTTATGGTGGGTGGCAGTGCAGGTGGCATTTAAGATGCGCCTGGTGCCAGCAGAGGAGGCCAAGGAGACACTGTCCCCACCCATCTCACTCTATCCTACACATTCAATTGCCCACAACCCCACTCCCCTCCCTCACTCCCCAAACCTTTTGCAGAGGAGAACCCCACGGGATGGGGCACGTACGGCTGGGTGGCGTGGCAGTACAGGCGGCATCCAAGATGTGGCTGGTGCCAGCAGAGGTAGCCAAGGAGACTGCATCCCACCCATCCCACGTTTGTCCTGCTCTTCCTCACCCTCTGCCCCACTCCACTCCCTCACTCCCCTAACTTTCCGCAGAGGGGAATCCCACGGGAGGGGGCGCGTACGGGTGGGTGGCAGTGCAGGCAGCGTCCAAGATGCGGCTGGTGCCAGCAGAGGTGGCCAAGGGAGGCTCAGTCTCATCCACGTTACTCATCCACCCATGCACATTCACTCCTCCACACCGTCTGCAGAGGAGAATCCCACGGGAGGGGGCGCGTATGGGTGGGTGGCGGTACAGGCGCATCCAAGATGCGCCTGGTGCCAGCAGAGGTGGCCAAAGAAACACTCATGAAGGCCTTTGAGGGGCGCAGGCGCACACGCCTGCCCATCGTGCTCACCACTGCTGCCAACTACGAGCCTGACTGTACGTGGTGGTGATGGTAACCCGCACTGTAACGCGCCCGTTTAGGGTCCCTAGAAAGTGCGGCTGGAGCCAGCAGAGGTGGCCAACGAGACGCTCATGAAGGCGTTTGAGGGGCGCCAGCGTACACGCCTGCCCATCGTGCTCACCACTGCTGCCAACTACGAGCCTGACTGTACGTGGTGGTGATGGTAACCCACACTGTAACGCGCCCGTTTAGGGTCCCTAGAAAGTGCGGCTGGAGCCAGCAGAGGTGGCCAACGAGACGCTCATGAAGGCGTTTGAGGGGCGCCAGCGTACACGCCTGCCCATCGTGCTCACCACTGCTGCCAACTACGAGCCTGACTGTACGTGGTGGTGATGGTAGTGAATGATCAATGTTGTAAGGCGCGATGTGAGGAGAGAGAGCGAGAGACGCTCGTGAAGGCGTTTGAGGGACGAAGGCGCACGCGCCTGCCCATCGTGCTCACCACTGCTGCCAACTACGAGCCTGACTGTACGTGGTGGTGATGGTAGTGAATGATCAATGTTGTAAGGCGCGATGTGAGGAGAGAGGGCGAGAGACGCTCGTGAAGGCGTTTGAGGGACGAAGGCGCACGCGCCTGCCCATCGTGCTCACCACTGCTGCCAACTACGAGCCTGACTGTACGTGGTGGTGATGGTAGTGAATGATCAATGTGGCGCGATGTGAGGAGAGAGAGCGAGAGACGCTCGTGAAGGCGTTTGAGGGACGCAGGAGCGCGCGCCTGCCCATCGTGCTCACCACTGCTGCCAACTACGAACCAGATTGTGAGGCTAGCTGACTGACTGACTGACTGACAGTAACCCGCAGGAGCACCGCCTTGTCTGACTACCAGTGGTGTGGTAGCAGCTACAATCTGGACCGTGACTGCCTTTACCGTGCCTGTGACGTTCTGGCATGCCTTGTCAAAACACATCTTCCCCCTTTTCTTACCCCGTGCATCTTCTCTGTTATCCTTCTCATGTCCTGCCCTCTCTTCCCCGTTCCTTGCCTTCCCTTCTCTCTCTCCCCCACATCCCCACCTCAACCCCTCTCCCTTCTCGTTTCCTTCCCTCTCGTTCCCCACGCCCACATCCTCTCTGTCCAGCTGGCAGCCCCACATTGGTCTTCCTGCTGGCGCCTGTCAACGTGGCAAGCTCCCGGCGCTTCTCCCTGTTCAACCATTCAGGCGACTATGTGACGCACGCAGAGAGGGCGCAGGAGATAGGTGCGTGCATACATGTCCGAATGCACTTGCGTGAACATCTGTGCGTGTGTATATTTTGCGTGTGTGTGTGTGTGTGGGTGGGTCTATGCATGTGTGCTCTTGGCGGTGCTATTCCTGTTCAACCGTCGCGCGACTATGTGACGCGTGCTGAGAGAAAGCAGGAGGTAGGTAGGTGCGTGCGTGCGTGCGCGCGTGCGTGCGTGCGTGCGTGCGTGCGTGCGTGCGTGCGTGCGTGCGTGCGTGCGTGCGTGCGTGCGTGCGTGCGTGCGTGCGTGCGTGCGTGCGTGCGTGCGTGCGTGCGTGCGTGCGTGCGTGCATGATACAGGCGCACGCTGAGGCGTCCTGAAAATGCGTCGAGACGCCTCTCACCACCTTTCCCCCTGACCTCTTCCCCCACCCACCTGTGCCAGGTTACTCTCCTTTCCCCCTTGCAGTGGCCAAGGCACTGCCCAAGTCGCGCCTGGTGATGATGCTTTACGAGGGCTGTGGGGAAGCGAGTTGGGGCTTCTAAGGTGCCTCGAACCACATGCATTTCAAGGCACCCTGCAGATGTTTCAAGACGTCTCCAACCAACCACACAAACCCGTTCTTCCTCCCCCCTTCTCTCCCTTACTCAAACGTCCGCCTGCCCCATATTTCCCTCTCCCTGCAGTGGCCAAGGCCCTACCCAAGTCGCGACTGGTGGTGGTGCTCTGTGAGGGGTGCGGGGGGCTCTTCACAGAGGCCACGCTGGACTCGCTGCGACTCAAACCAGACAAGGCAAGCTCCGGGCTAAGGTTAAGGGTTGAAGGTTGATGGTCGAGGGGCTGTGGTTCCTTCTGGTTTACGGTTTACCTTGTCAGGGCTGTGGGGGGCTTTTCAATGTTTCCAAGCCACACAAGGCATTCCATGCCTTCAGTCAACATGGCAGGACTTTCTTCAACCATTCATCCTTTTTCTCCTTCAAGTTGCTTCTCTTCATCCCCATGCTTCCTTTTGAGGCGCCTCAACATTCTTTTTCCTTTTTTCAAAATGCTGTTCTTCTTTTGAGGCGCCTCAAAATCCGCGAGAACTGAGACGACTTTTGAGGCGCCTCAAAAGGAAGACTTTTGAGGCGCCTCAACATTCTTTTTCCTTTTTTCAAAATGCTGTTCTTCATTCCCATACCTCCACAAAGGTGGCGTACGAGGTGATTCCCAAGGACATGCGTTTCAACAGGAGCCAAGAGCCACAAGCTGGTCGTGGTGTGGGTGGATAAGGCGGAGTGGTGCAATTGCCACTCTCAATAAGGGTGTCGGACCTTCCTCAAAGAACACACCCTGATCTCACTTTATCCCTTTGTCCACACAGGTGGCATACGAGGTGATCCCAAAGGACATGGATTTCCCCAAGAGCCACAACCTGGTGGTGTCGTGGGTGGATAAGACCGAGGGGGTGTGGTGTGATGCTGTGGTGCTACTACTTTGTTCCACATGGCAGGCCTTTCTTTCAACCGTTCATCTCTTCAAAATTCCCATGCCCGTTCCCCACTCTGCACAGGTGGCGTACGAGGTGATCCCCAAGGACATTGATTTCCCCAAGAGCCACAACCTGGTGGTGTGGTGCCGTGGGTGGATAAGATGGAGGGAATGCGGTTACCATGTTCCCTGCAGCAGGCATTTCTGATTTTCAATGCTGCTCTCTATTCGCTTTTCCCAACAGGTGGCATACGAGGTGATCCCAAAGGACATGGATTTCCCCAAGAGCCACAACCTGGTGGTGCCATGGGTGGATAAGATGGAGGGGGTGAAGACAACCGACAGTGAGAGGGAGAGCGATCTGTCGTCCGTGATTAGAGCGCAGCCGTGGGCCCAGTACCTGTTGGGGAGGAGTGGGCGGATAGGGCAGGTTTACAGCCAGCTGCTGTAGATGAAATGCCGGAGGGTGCTTTTGAGAATTCTCAAGGGTGCAGTTCTTGCTGGGGAGGAGCAGGATGATAGGGTAGGTGCACAGCCAACTGCTGTGAGAGTGATGTGTTGGGATGGGCTTTAATTCCTGACTGAGAGTGAAGACGACTGACAGCGAGAGGGAGAGCGATTTGTATTTGGTAATTCGAGCACAGCCATGGGGTGCAGTAGTATACCTGCTGGGGAGAGCAGGAGGATAGGGCAGATGCACAGCCATTTACTGTCAATGGATGGAATGTGGGCGTGTTTACAGCCATTTGCTGTATCTAGCTTCTTTCATGTAATTTTTATGTTGACAGATCCATTTATGTTTAGCGACACATGACCTGCTTGCTATTTCTAGAGATCAATATTCCGGTTGTGTGGTGTTTTTTTTTTTTTTTTGCATGAACTGGTTTACAGCTCCACGGAAGAAAAGTAAGAACTATGGCTGTGGTGAATTCGACACCTCTAAAGCGCGTACGCGTCACCGTGCCAGAGCATTCTCTGCCCAGCCATGTCAACCCGAGAACCGCCTTGGGAATGACGGAGAAATGTTCGCATTGCACCCCACCCTGTCGTCCCTTGGGAATCACGAATTCGCATCGCACTTCGATCAGCCCAAGACCTCTTTAGGATGGGTCAGGAGGAAATGACGTACGTCCTACCTAAAAAGTTCGTCGATAGGACGTACTTCTACTGGTACGTCAAGCAGGGGTTTCGGGGAAATGGTTTCACTCTCGTCCTGATTACTTGTGTTTGGCCTCGCGTCTCCCCGTCCTCGTTTCTTCGCGACTCCGACGCTGCTCATGGCTCCTACCAGCGCTTCCCCTCTCGCCTTTTCTCGTCCTCTCGTGCAAGTTTCGCCCCCCGCAAGTTCTCTCACCATTCTCTCTCCAATAGCCTCTCGAATCTCTCTCTTCGTCCCCACGCCCACTGATTCTCGCTGTAGTTCCTCTCCGGCTCGCTGTGTAAACTGCAACTCACGGGCACGCTTAGTGTTTCCACAAACAAATCAGCGTCACGCTGTTTCGTCCAGCTCAGTTTCTGTTCGTCACCAGCCCCTCTTCAACCGCTCTCCAACGCCCTTGCGCCACGTGTCTAGTTCATCGCAGCTCACATCCGTCTCTTGCGCTGCTGCTGATGCTGATGCTGCCGGTGCTGCCGCAAAGGGCGGGAGCGAGGTAGAGAAAGGAACGATGACGGACCGCGGAAATGATAAGGTCGTCGCAAACGACGATGATGCTGACGTCATCATGGCTCCTGATGTTCGATTGGCTCCAGAGGCACGAATCCGTCCCCATATGAAATCTTCGACTCATATAATCATTGCAAGTTTACAATGATTTGTTTTCGTCGGGTTCGCCATGCAGTCACCGCATAGATGTCCACCTTGTATCTCATGATTCGATAAGCTACCACTGATTGTTCATCATGCGGATAATCTGGACATTGTTTTCATCTTTCACAAGATTCCCCTTCTAATTTCACGATTGCAGATTCACCTTAGTAACAGATTCATCTTCACTAATCAATCCCTAATTCCCCACTCCATCCCCCCTTCTCTTCCCCCTCCTCACACTACCCCAGCTCGCGTACATCCTCCCCCCTCCCCCTGAGGACCAACCCACACCAGATACCACCTCCCCCTCTCCCTCCTCCCCTCCCTACCTCCTCCTCGTCGCCCCCGGCGGCTTCATCCCCGCTCTCTCCTACCTCCCTGTCATCCGCGCTATAAGATCCGCTGCCCCCTCCTCTCTACGCACGCGCCTGTGGGTGGCCGTACTGAAGGAAATTACCGCATTGGATCCCGAGAAAGGGAGAGCGTGGGCGCGGGACGGGTATGAGGCGGCGGTAGCAGCGATAAAGGAGATGGGTGCGGATGTGACAAATAGGGGCAGCACCTCGCGCGTGTTTGTGCTGGGACACAGGTGGGTTGACTTGACTTGTATGTTGAGTCCTGAGTTGACTTTCCTGTTGAATTTTTAGTTGCATATTGAGCTGACTTTTGAGGCGCCTCAAATTGCAGTTGCCTTTCTCGTTGACTTTCTTGTTGCCTTTCTCGTTCACCTTTTGAGCCGACTTCTGAGTCGACTTGTAAGCTGATTGACATCCGTGTGACGCGAGCATTGCCACAGCCTGGCCTCCTTTTCATCGGAGCATATCACACATACTGTTCATCAACCAGTGTTCAGCACGCACAGAACTTTCCAGTCCTTTGTGTAGTACAGACGTTTCTGGGGAGAGGCCTCCTCCAGGCAAGAAATTTCTCTCCCTTTTCTCCCCCGCCTGCCTGCCCCGTTCCCTCTGCTCACCCCCCACCTACCTACCCAGCATCAAAGCCTTTCTGACTACCTCAGTCGATCACGAATGCCACAATACTCTCTTCCTTTCCTAGGAAATCTTTTTTTTCTTTCCTTCTGCTCCCTCCCATCTGCCCGCATCTGAGCCTTTTTCATGACAGCAGTGGAGCGAGAGGCCTGCCTGGCCCCCATCTCATGGGCATCTGAGCCTCACACAGTGATTAAGAAATTACCCTCCCTCCCCCCCCCACCCGCTACCAGCATCGGAGCCGCGTCATGACAGCAGTGGTGTGAGAGGCGTGCCCGACCCTCATCCGCAATGGTGCCTCACACACTCATCAAGAAACCATTATCTCTAGTTCCTCTCCCCTTATTTCCCCCCAAACCTTCCCCTCTCCCACTCACCCCCCACCAGCATCGGGGCGTTTGCCATGACAGCAGTGGTGAGAGAGTCGTTGCTGGCGCTCATCAGCATCGGAGCGTTTGCCATGACATCAGCATCGGCGCGTTTGCCATGACATGAGCATCGGCGCCTCATACAGTGCTCAATGAAACCACTCTCTCGCTCCTTCTCCTTGCGCCCTTAACCCTACCTAACCCCGACCAGCATCGGATCATTTCTTATGACAGCAGTGGTGCGAGAGAAATGCCTGGCGCTCATCAGCATTGGAGCCTCACACAACAGCCTAGAGACCTCCTTCCTGCAATTCCCAAGGCCCACGCTCACCATTCTCGGTGACAGGGACGGCCAGGCTCCTCCCATTGCTATGGCACTGGCAGTCAAGGAGCTGGACCCTGGATCCTCAGGTGCCCCAGGTGATTTTTCAGGTGATTCTTCAGGTGGTTCTTCTGTTGCTGCTGATGCACCTGGCACGACAGCAGCAGCGCTGGGGCCACTGCTGTCCATAGTGCAGAAACCGTTTGTGATTATAAAGGGCATGAATCATGCGCAGGGGGGGAACGGGGTGGTGAACCGAGAGAGGGGTGACCTGGAGGCGTCTCAACCAATCAAGGAGGTGCGGGAGGAGATTGGGCGGCTGGTTTTGGCGTTTATGCTGCTGCACCTGCACTCGGGGAACGGCTGGGCTCCGATGCTGTTGGCGGGTAGGGAGGGGGTTAGTGGAGGAGTGGGAGGGGAGGGAGGGGAGGGAGGGGAGGGAGGGGAGGAGGAGCATATGGCTGAGACACAGCGTAGTGCGGTGAAGGTGCTGCAGGGGGCTGTGGAGTGGTCGTTGGAGTACCTGCGACCAGTGTGGAGGGCCCTGGAGATGGAAAGGGGCGAGCCTCACCACGTGCTGGTCAGTGCTCTCCTTCCTTCTCCCTTTGGTTCTGTCAATTGCGGCCATGTGGCTTGCCTTAGAAAGGCAGGGGTTTGATTGCATAGCCTGTAAGCATGTGCCCTTGCGTCGTGAGAGGTGTTTGAGGATTCTGAAAGGTCCGTTACTCGCTGCTAATTCAATAGGGTTATGACGAATGTATGCGTGTTTGCTTGCCTTGGGGTGCCTCAACTCTAGAATTCTCGCTTACAGTTCACCTCACCCCTCCTTCCCTCTCCTTCACGCCCAAACCTTCTTCCCCTTCTAGTCCGTCCCCTTCCATATCTTATACCTCGATCCCCCACTCTGTACCCATCTCGCCATCCTCTCCCACTCCTCACCGCACATCCTCTTCCCCTCTCCCACCCCCTTCCAACAGGACGCCATCCTCTCCCACGCAGGCCTCCCCACCACTCTCCCCTCACACACCATCTTCCACGCCTTCCTGCCCGACTTCCTCCGGTCCAAGCCCGCCCTCCTCCTCGCCTCACAGGAAAGCCCGTTCCAAAGTAATTCCTCTCTGGGGGGCTCCTCTCAGGACGGCTCCTCCTCGCCTTCTACCGTGCTGCAGTCTGCATGGCTGCAATCGCAGGGTAAGTTCTGGCCGTGCCAGCCGCACACCCTGTGGGTCAAGTGCAAGAGCGCTGCTGCTATCAGGGAGGCTCTTGGCTTGGAGCTTGCTGGGGTAGAGGGAGACGCAGCAGTGACGCCTGTAGGAGCAGCAGGAACAGAAAAGCCCTCTCTTGAAGCGGCGTTTTCGGCATGGGCGGCAGCGGCGCCAATGGAAGTGCGCCACGTGGCGGCGTCGATTAACGAGGCAGCGATGCAGCGGGCTCTGGAGATGGTGCACCCGCATGCGAGAGAGAGGTATGAGAGAGACGGGAAGAAGGTGGTGTTTGGGGAGGACAGGATCGTGCCTATCGATCAGTGGATCAAATCTGATGTGGAGTGGTCATTTAAGGAGGGCATGGAGGGAGATAAGGGGGATGATAAGGAAGGAGGAGTAATTGGAGGGAGAGGGGTTGTGGTGGTGAGGTCTCCTGTTTTGATTACTGCTGATGAGATTCTTCCTGTGGAGTTGAAGGGGAGGTTTGGGGGAATGCACTATGTGAAGGTGATCACTGTAGCTCGTGGAATGCAATGGATTATGCTGGATGCTTTTAGGTAAGAGGTAAACGTATGCTGGCTTTCATATGCCCTCGTGCTGGGTCTGACGCTGTAAATGCATGTACATATGTGATAGGAAGTTTCATGGTTCATCTATGCATAGGTGGAAATGTCATTGTGGACAGGGTGCTACCCTAGCTGGACGGTTCTGTTCAAGAATACTTGGATTTGTATGCTTGCAGAGGTTGACTATTGATAACAACAAGGGGCAGAAGAAAAAGTACCATAGATATACCATCAGTGGGGATATACCTGAATTTGTGTGTGTTTTGACGTTTGTTACCGTGCGCCTGAGTTTTATAATCAGGCGTATGTTTACAATGCCAAAATGCCCTGCGCCGATGTATGTGGGCGACGGCTTGCGAATTGCTGTGGTAGAATCAGTTTACTACCGACACAAATCCCTTTCCACACCCACACCCGCCACTTCTAAGTCAGAATCGCTGTGAAACTCGCAATCATCTTACTTGCTGGTGTTGTGCCACTCGTCCGTGTTTCTGCATCACCCACTCCTCGTAAAAGCCTCTCCAGCGTGCTTGCACGGTTTTTTTAGAGTTCTATGCAACGCCACGCGTCTTCATTGCCGCGATTGTCCGTCAATTGCGCTGCTGCTGCTGGTGCTGGTGCTTCGGGCGTTAGCCGTGGGAGCGAGAGAAAGGAAAAGAAACGATGACGGACCGTGAGAAGGATAGGAACGTCGCTGATGACGATGATGATTCCATCGTTGCTACGCAGGTGCGACATTTTATCCAGGTGTGTTTTGAGTCGACTCAAAACACACCTGACGACAACAATGATACTCAGGTGCACATGGCTCCACACACACGAATTCATTACCCCCAAATTGTCCAACAATTGCAGATTTGGCAGATTCGCATTCAATATTTCATTGCAGAATCACCTCGCAGCCACCTCGTAATAGTCGTACGCACCGTATGATTACACATGATAGAAAGTTCGTATCAGCTTTCGCCTGGTAACAGATTCTCCTTTCCGTATCAAAATCACCTTATCATCAGTCAGTTACCTATTCACCTTAAACTTAATTTTCGATTCTCAAAACCCACTTCTCTTCCATCCCCCCTGACTCTTCCGTGCGCATACACCACTCCAGCTCGCATACATCCTTCCCCCTCCACCTGAGGCCCAACCCACACCAGATACCACCTCCCCCTCTCCCTCCTCCCCTCCCTACCTCCTCCTGGTCGCCCCCGGCGTATTCATCCCCGCGCTCTCCTACCTCCCTCTCATCCGCGCTATAAGATCCGCCGCTCCCTCCTCTCTACGCGCGCGCCTGTGGGCGGGCGTACTGAAGGAGATCACAGTTCCAGACTAGGAGAAAGGGAGGGCGTGGGCGCGGGACGGGTATGAGGCTGTGGTGAAAGCGGTTAAGGGGATGGGCGCGGATGTGGGCGGTGGCGGGTTGGGCACTCCGCGGGTGTTTGTGCTGGGACACAGGTGGGTTGTGAAGGGGGGGCCTGGGCGGGAAAGGGGGGGGGGGGGGGATGCTAGCCGGCAAGGGTATGAGGTGCAGTGGTGAATGAAGGAGATGGGCGCGGATGTGGGCAGCGGAGGATTGCGCACCCCGCGGGTGTTTGTGCTGGGACACACACAGGTGTGTTGTGAAGGGGGGCCTGGGCCTGGGAGTGAAGATGCTAGTCGGGCACAAGTGCTGAGTGAAGATGCTAGTCGGGCACAAGTGCTGAGTGAAGATGCTAGTCGGGCACAAGTGCTGAGTGAAGATGCTAGTCGGGCACAAGTGCTGAGTGAAGATGCTAGTCGGGCACAAGTGCTGAGTGAAGATGCTAGTCGGGCACAAGTGCTGAGTGAAGATGCTAGTCGGGCAAGGGTGCAGCGGTTGTGAATGAAGGAGATGGGCCCGAGGGGGTTGGGGGGTGGATGCGTCCCGCTTGTCGCTCAACGCTCAACTTAAGACGCTCAACAACAACACTGAACGCCCAGGTTGTGGCTCCCTCTCTCTCACCTCTGTCTCTCTCTCTCCTCTGTTTCATGAACAAGCAACCGACTCTCACACTGCCTGCCTCTGTTTCTCTCCCCCTCCCTCCCGCTTCACCTCCCCATTCAGCGTGGGAGCGTTGCTCATGACCTCAGTGGTGCGTGAATCGTGCCTCGCCTTTATCCAGATAGGAGCATGGTACAACTCCCAGGAAACTTCGCTGTTGCAATTCCCAAGGCCCACGCTCACCATCCTCGGTGACAGGGACGGCCAGGCTCCCCCCATCACCATGGCGCTAGCAGTCAAGGAGCTGGACCCTGGATCCTCAGGTGCCTCTTCAGGTGATTCTTCAGGTGGTTCTTCTGTTGCTGCTGCGCCTGGAAGCGCAACAGCAGCAGCGCTGGGGCCACTGCTGTCCATAGTGCAGAAACCGTTTGTGATTATAAAGGGGATGAATCACGCGCAGGGGGGGAACGGGGTGGTGAACCGAGAGAGGGGCGACCTGGAGGCGTCTCGACCAATCGAGGAGGTGCGGGAGGAGATTGGGCGGCTGGTTTCGGCGTTTATGCTTCTTCACCTGCACTCGGAGAACGGCTGGGCGCCGTTGCTGCTGGCGGGCGACAGAGGGTCGAGTGGTGGAGTGGGAGGGGAGGAATTGGAGGAGAGTGCGGTGGCGCTGCTGCAGAGGGCAGTGGAGTGGTCGTTGGAGTACCTGCGACCAGTGTGGAAGGCCCTGGAGATGGAAAAGGACGAGACTCACCATGTGCTGGTCAGTCCGCCCCTTGCCAAACGATTTTCGAGACATCTTTTGAGACGATTTTTGAGACGTCTCAACAATCAAAAGCAGGATGTGATCGTCTCTCACGCAGGCCTACCAACCTCTCTCTGCTCGCACTCCACTTCCCTTTCCTTCTTACCACACTCCATCCATCCACGTTCCCCTCCTCTCCCACCCCTTCCAACACGAAGGATTTTTTTCCCAAGCAGTCCTACCAACCTATCTCCCTCCACACACCATCTTTTTTCCTTCCTGCCATGCTTCGCTTAACCATTCCCTCCTGCTCCCCACCTTCCCCATCCCCACCTCACTCCGCGATTCCCTCCCCCACCCATTCCAACAGAATGCCATTCTCTCCCACGCAGGCCTTCCCCAGCCCACCGTTGCACACCATCTTCCACACCTTCTAACCATACTCCATCCATCCACTTCCCCCTCTTGGCCCACCCATTCCAACAGGACGCCATTCTCTCCCACGCAGGCCATCCCCAGCCCCCTCCTCACACACCACCTTCCATGCCTTCGTACCACACTCAACCCATTCACGTTCCCCTCCTCTCCCACACCTTCCCACAGGACGCCATTCTCTCCCACGCGGGCCTACCAACATCGCTCCCCTCACACACCCTCGTCCATGCCTTCTTACCAGACTTCATCCGCTCCAAGCCTGCCCTCCTCGCCCCTCGGAAAGAAAATATTTCAGGCCCCTGCCAGGAGGGCTCCTCTCAGGAAGGCCCCTCACAGGAGGGCTCCACCCAATTCTCCTCTCCTCCAACCGTGCTCCTCCTCCAGTCCGCATGGTTGCAGTCTCAGGGTAAGCTCTGGCCATGCCAGCCGCACACTCTGTGGGTCAAGTGCAAGAGCTCTGCTGCTATTGGGGAGGCTCTTGGCTTGCAGCTTGCAGGAGCAGGGGGGAACGCAGCAGTGACGCTGGTGGCTCCAGCAGCAGCAGCTGCAGAAGTACCAGCAGCACCAGCAGCAGAAGAACCAGCAGCAGTGGAAACAGGAGTGAAAGCAGCAGCAGGAGTACCAGCAGCAGCAGCAGCAGGAGGAGCAGGGGCGGGAATACCTTCTCTTAAAGCCGCGTTGATGGCTTGGGCGGAAGCAGCGCCAATGAGAGTGCGCCACGTGGCGGCGTCGATCAACGAGGCGGCGATGCAACGAGCTCTGGAGATGGTGCACCCGCATGCGAGAGAGAGGTACGAGCGAGAGGGGAAGAAAGTGGTGTTTGGGGCGGATAAGATAGTGCCAAGTGATGTTTGGATCGCAGCTGATGTAGAGTGGTTGTCTGGGGAGGGAGAGGAGGGAACGGGGGGAGCAACGGAGGGAGGGAAGGGAGTCAAGCAGGGGATGAAGGAGGGGGATAAGGAGGATGATGAGGAAAGAGGTGCAGATGGAGGGAGAGGGGTTGTGGTGGTGAGGTCGCCTGTTTTGATTACTGCTGATGAGATTCTTCCCGCAGAGTTGAAGGAGAGGTTTGGGGGAATGCACTATGTGAAGGTGATTACTGTAGCTCGTGCTATGCAATGGATTATGCTTGATGCTTTTAGGTAAAAGGTAAACGTGTGTTGGCCTTTTTATGCACGTGTGTTGGGCTATTTTATATTTTACATGTACCGTATTACCCCGGATATAAGCGCACCTGCGCTTATAATAAAACAGTGTTTTTTTGGGGGGTGCGCTTATAATTGAGTAAAAATTATAAGCGCATGCGCTTATAATATAACAAATACAAATATATATTTCAATGCACCAGATTGTACATCTCATCCTTCAGATTTCAATCGAATCGAAATTGTAGAAAGTCACATGTCAAAATCGCGCGCGGGCGATTCTTCGCGAGCGCCCAGAGGCAAAATACAGTGTAACACCTCACTTTGAGGGCGTGCCAGCTCGTGCTGACTGGACGCGCAGGATGTGAGAGGTCTTCGAAAGTCAATGTAAGCGAAAATGGGTTGTGGCCTCGCTGCAAAACTGAGATTCGTTACCGTTTTAATGAAGAATTATAAATAAAATTACACATGCGCTTATAATATATCAGGGTTTTATAAGGGGTGCGCTTATAATTGAGGATCGGCCATAAGCGCATTACTCCAGATACAAGCGCATGCGCTTTTAATAGGCCTGCGCTTATATCCGGGGCCATACGGTACATATATAATCTTGTAATTTCAAAATCATTTGCTGCGATTCATTGATTGGAATTACTGGAAGCTTTTCGTTAGAGAGGATATGGGTTCTCGAAACAGCCAAACCAAACCAGCTAAACCATTTTGACGTGCGACACATATTTTTTATCCACATCTACTAGTCGTTTATTTCGCTGTACTCAGAGCGCTTGTTGGTAGCCTGCAGCAGTTAATAAAGCAGAGGCACAGAGTACAATCCCCGGCAGTTCCGTGATGGGCACGAGTACAGCGGCGAAACGACGCTAGACATTGCCTAATCTGATTCTGGCATTAGCCAGTGAGCCCACCCTAGCATTAGCCTTACCAGCGATAATTTGAGCAGCGCGGCGGCTCGTAAGCTTTTCGAATTGCGGCCGCGTGGAAAGCGATGGTTCGAGCAGCGGCGGCGTCTGGCGAAGGAATTGCGTCTCGGAGGAACTGAGCCGCGGCGTGTTGTTGCTGATTCACTCAAGGCGAGGCAAGGACCCGTGTCAGAGCCAGCGCCGCTGTGCGTGTGGATTATCGTTGCTGGAAGCATTCGCGGATCAGCAGGAGGAATGCACGACGTGCCGCAGTGCACAATCATCGCGGCCGACACGTCAAATATATGGTGCGCCGTTTGTTCGTCGACTTATAAGTTACTTCCGTCCTGCTAAAAAAGAGCCGATTCGATTTTCTTCTTCTCTTGCCTTGATCGCTGCAATAACAAACGCCTTCTTGGATCCGACATATTTTAAGTTGACATGTAAGGTTCCCCCCCACTCCCGTCCCCCCCATTCCCCAACCCCTTTCCCCCCCTTTCCCCCACCTTTCCCCCCCTCCCCCCCCCCCTTCCCCCCCCCCCTCCCCCCCCCCCTTTTCCCCCCTCCTCTTCCCCCTTCCCCCCCTTCCCCCCCCCCCTTTCCCCCCCTTTTCCCCCCCTCCCCCCCCCCTTTCCCCCCCTTTTCCCCCCTTTCCCCCTCTTCCCCCCCCTTTCCCCACCTTCCCCCCCCTTCCCCCCCCTTTCCCCCCTTTCCCCCCCTTTTCCCCCCCTTCCTCCTCTCCCCCATCTTCGCCTTTCCGTCTCTCCCCCGCTGCGCTCCCCGGCGCCACGTCAGCTACCCTGCGTGTGCGCGTTGCACGCGCTCGCTGTCGGAGTACACGGTGAGGGGCCAGCAGGTCGCCACGTGGCGCCCGTGGCCGTGCAGCGAGTGCCAGCTGTCAGACCGCTCCGCGAAGCCGCTTGAGACCATCGAGCGGCAGACACATCTGTTCAAGCTCAAGGTGACTAACGACGCTGTGATTATGTGAAAATGGATGGCGCTATATTGGAAGGCATGACAATGGATAAAGCATTATAACAGACTTTTCTTTCCTTTCCTTTCCTGACATACAAGACCAGGCCAATTCCATCTTCCATGTGTCAGTCGCCCCTCTCCCTTCCCTTCTCATCTACCCCCCTTTTCCCACCGTCCCTCCCTCTTTCGCGAATGTTCACATTGCAATACTCCCAACACACGTCACGGCAACTGTTGCTGGTGATCCCTGGGGAGTCCCACCGTGTCTGGTGTGGTGTTTGACAAGGCGGCTCTCAGCCCCTCTCCTCTTTCCCCCCTTCCCCCTCTTCCCTCCACACGGCAGCTGCTGCTGGTGCTACCAGGGGAATCCCACCCAGTGTCCGGTGTGGCGTTTGACAAGGCAGCCCAGCCGCTCATAGGCTGCACCGGATGCCAGTGGACCGCCTTTGTTCGCAAATACCCCCATGCAGGTCCGTTACGCTTCTTGCTTCTTAACGCTTTTGTTTGTGCCTGGGAAATAGATATACAGTGTGCACGCTCGCTAGAACTTAAAGGAACGTTAATCCACATCGCATAGTGCACCTTCTCTCAATACCTTGTGTGTGTGTGTGTGTTTTTTCTTCTTATTCTTCTTCTTTTCTTCTTCTGTTTGCTTTTATCCCATCTTTGCATCTCTCCACCCTCCTGTCTCCTCTACATCTCTCCCTCTCTCCCCTCTCTTCCCTCTCCGCTCTCCCCTCCCCCATCCTACTCCTAGCATGCGTGCTCTCGGAGCTGCTGTGTGGCATGGCATGCCGCGTGCAGATGAGGGACGCCGTGCGGGGCACTGGCCAGGAGATAAGGCTCGCTCGCATCGTCCCACTCCCACTCTCACACACACCACACTCCTCTGCTCTCCCGACGCACTCGCTCCCACACACCACGGGAGCGTCTAGGCTGCCATTGCCTTTTGCACAGCTTCAGCTGGTGTTTGGGGAGGCCGAGCAGGGTGGATGGGGGCAGGGTAGCGGGGGACAGGGTGGAAGGGGGCCGCACATGTGAAGTGAGTTTGGTTATGCTTGGGAATGGCAGGTGAATGCATCATGTGTCTCCCCGGAGTGGTTCTTGAGCCAGTATGTGGTGGTTATGCAGGAGAGTGTACGATCTTTCAAGGTGCACAAGAAGCTCGCTCAAGAATTGATTGGTATGTGTGATGTGATGTGATGTGATCCATCCAGCATCTTGTTTCAGCCTTCTTCTGCATATGATTCCTGGTTTCTGCCTTGTGCTCATTCTCTCATTCGCGGCCCAAATTGCGGAGCGCGCGGAGCAACCGTAGTAATCCTGACGGTGAGGGTTGTGTGAAACCAAACTCAAAAGCCGAAAACAGAACTTGCGTAAAAAACCACCTGAAAGACACCTGGGTCGACCTTACTAAACTTGTGCAATTTGGGCCTTGAGCTTTAACCTTCACGTAAAACGGGCCAACCTACATCGCGTTTGTTCCTAGGGATCACCGACCCTTTCGTACCTGTTTCAGTCTTGAACAACTTCTTGAAGTCGCATCCAAGATGCTGACTTCGTGTACCATTCCTGAAATGTAGATGCTCAGTTTCGAAAGGATGTTTAAATATTTCAGGGTCAGATATGAAATGTTTCTGCCTTCGATTCATACTGTGAGGATTTACAAATCCTTACTGAGGCACTTGTTTGAGTTACTAGTTAGATGAGAAGTGTCGATTAGGTAAGAGGGGGGGGGTACAAGGACTATCGAGAGAGATTGTTGTACCCTCTAAGGAAAGAACCCTACACAACCTAGAGTGAAATAAGCAGAACAATATGTTTTGACACACCCCCATAGGTGAAGTAGGGGATAGCCAAGCCTAACAGTGGTCACAAGACCAGTCAAGCAAGAGAACAAGCAAGGCAAAGCCCAGGGTGGATCTCAAGGACACCACACAATCTGAGCACAAGCAGGCAGCCACAAGGCCAGTTCACATGCAGATTTATAAGAGCAAGGCAGTACACAGATCACAACCTAACAAGAGGAAACATGCAGGTATAAAGATATATAGCAGTGTACAACAAGAGCAGGTCAAGCAACCAGCAGGTGAGGCAGAGTGGGCACAAGCCCAAGAGCAGTGCAGAAACGCTGATGATCACCAGCCGCAAAGGCCTTGGTGAAGACATCAGCAATGTTGGCCCGAGAGGCCACACAAGCAAGGCGCAGCTGACCACGCTGCTGCAGCTCACGCGCAAGGAAGTAGCGCAGAGCAATGTGCTTCGTTCTGTGCTCCAGTCTCTGCTCGCGACACAAGGCAAGCATTGCCTTGTTGTCGACGTACAGAACTGGAGGAGAACGAGGCTGCTCCCCCAAGTCGGTCAGCAGGTAGGTCAGCCAACGGAGCTCCTGTGCAGCCATGGCCCCAGCGTAGATCTCGGCCTCACAGCTGGAACCAAGCACAGAAGAAGAACGAGTGGACCTCCACGAGACAGAACCAGCGCCAAGACTGAAGGTGTAGCCCTGTGACGAACGCTGAGTCGCCTGGTCGTCGGCCCAAGAAGCGTCAGAGTGTCCTGTGAGGACCACCGAACCCCGTCCTCCAAGCACGAGCCCCATGCCCGATGTGCTGCACAAGTAACGCAGTACCCTCTTCGCAGCATCAAAGTGCACCTTTCGGTGCCTACCGGGTGCCACGTAGCGAGCCAGAAGGCTGAGAGGGTACTCGAGGTCAGGTCGTGTGCACGTCATCAGGTACATGAGGCAGCCCACAAGCTCTGGGTACGGACCACTCGGCTCTACGGACTCGTCCGAAGGTGGAGCTGAGAGCGAGTGGCCGGTAGCTAGAGGAGTGGGCTGTGGCGAGGAGTACGTCAAGCGGAAGCGCTGAAGGACCTGGTGCACCATGTGTGACTGAGTCAGGGTGATGGTGCACCGTGCTCCGTCCCGGGTGATCTGCAAGCCAAGATAGCTCCTCAGCTCACCCAGGTCAGTGCAGGTGTGTCTCTCCTACAGCTCCGCCTTCACTAGGGCCAGTGCCTCAGTGTCAGCAGTAGCAAAAACCAAGTCGTCGACGTACACGAGGATGTAGAACGGCGGCAGAGTAGTGTCGGTGCGTAGAAACAGCGACGGGTCAGCAGTCGAAGGAGCAAACCCAAGAGCCGCAAGTGTCGTCCTCAGTGTGTTGTGCCACTCGCGGGGCGCCTGACGCAAGCCGTACACTGGTCGCCGTAGGCTCCACTGGGTACCCTCAGGAAACGACCCAGTGAAGCCCTGTGGACGGCGCAACCAGATGGCCTCGTGAAGGCTACCCTGCAAGAAAGCTGTCGAGAAGTCGAGGGAGTGCAGCTCGTAGTCACGCTGAGCTGCAACGTGTAGCAACACCCGAAGAGTGGTCATCTTCGGGGTGGGGGAGAAGGTCTGAAAGAAGTCGACCCCCTCACGCTGACTGAAGCCTCGAGCAACGTAACGTGCCTTGAAGGCAGGCGGAGAACCCGGCGGCCGCTTCACCCTGAAAATCCACATGCCACTGACGATGTTCGCCCCAGGTGGGGGAACCTCGTCGACGTAGGTGCCTGTGGACTTCCGAGAAGCCATCTCTGCGTCCATGGCTGTCGGCCACTGAGAGGAGTACTCACCCGAAATCGCCTCCCTGTAGGAGCGCGGGGTGGGGATGTCAAGTGCATCCGGGTCTCCCTCAGGGGCAAGCAGCATGGTCGCGTGATGGGGTGAAGCGGCAGCAAGGCACTCCAGCTCCTCCTGTCTGTCCTCAAGAACGTCACAGCCAAGGGCAGTGCAGCCAAGAGCAGTCTCACCCCCGACGGACGGAGGACAGGCAGGGACAGGGTCAGAGACAAGACTCGCAAGGTAGTCTAGGCGGTACACAGCAGCAAAGTCAACGAGCTCAGCTACTAGGGCAGACGCAGCAGGAGACGAGAACGTAGGGTCCGTCACAACCGTAGCAAGAAGGCGAGTAACAGTCGGACTGGACGCACGAGCAAGGTCAGACGGAGGGTCAGCAACGTCAGGCAAAGAGGACGCAGGAGGTAACGGTAGGACAACACGCTGAGGAACAAAGGAAGGACGGAGTGTCATATCGTGAGTGCCGGGGACAGCCGGAGCACGCTGACGACGAACACGAGGAACACGAGCACGTACAGCAGCTCTAGGCTCAGGCTCAAGGTCAAAGCTAGACTCAGGCTCTCGACGCTCAGGGGTGGAAGCACGAGTCTTAGGCTCTCGACGCTCAGTCAGGGACTCTGACACCGCAGTGTAAGGAGCAGGAGCAGGCAGTGGGGAGTGTGGTAGCAGCGGCGGCTGTGACTGGTCCGCCGGTGGACACAGCAACGGAGGAGTAGTACCTGCCACAGGGAAGCCAGTAGCACCTGGCTGAAGACTGAGAAGGTGGCGAAGAGCACCAGTAGCTCCACCAGGACCTCCAGCACCTCTAGCACCTCCAGCCCCAGCAGCTCCAGCGCCTATAGCACCAGCAGCTCCAGCAGCTCCACGACCTCCAGCACCAGCACCAGTACCTCCAGCACCAGCAGCTCCACGAGGACCAGCAGCACCAGCAGCTCCCCGACCTCCAGCACCAGCAGCACCTCCAGTACCTCCAACACCTCCAGGACCTCCAGCACCAGCAGCACCTCCAGGACCTCCAGCACCAGTAGCTCCAGGTCCTCCGGTAGGAGCTTCGACGACACCAACACCAGAAGGACTCGCAGCACCCCCAGAGTCAGCACCCGAACTCGCAGCACCCCCAGAGGTAGGACTCTCGGTCTCAGCACTCGCAGGCTCAGTACCCTCAGTCGCAGCACTCGCAGGCTCAGTACCCTCAGTCTCAGCACCCTCAGGCCCAGTACCCTCAGTCCGAGCACCCCCAGGCTCAGTACCCTCAGTCCCAGCACCCCCAGGCTCAGTACCCTCAGTCCCAGCACCCCCAGGCTCAGTACCCTCAGTCTCTGCTCCAGTGTCCATAGCAGCAGGCTGCAGAAGCGGCGAAGACGGCAGAGGTGGGAACCCGGGGGGTGTAGCCAGACGAGGAGAGCGGGCACCCCCAGACTCACCACCCCCAGCCCCAGCTCCAGTAGTCTCAGCTCCAGAGTCCACAGCAGCAGGCTGCGGAGGCGGCGAAGACGGCCGTGGCGGGAAACCCGGGGGGGTCTCCAAGCGAGGAGTGCGGCGAGTGGTCGCCGTGTCGTCGGCGACGCCGTCACCCCCCTCAGGTGAGTCAGAGGAGTCAGAAGAGATCTCAACTGGCTCATCCAAGGGGGGTGGGTCTACCTGGGACACACCTGAGGGAGCAGGACCCTGCGGGGGAAGGGGGTCTACCGGGGGGGGACTGGTACCAGGAAGAGAGGTGCGAGGGGGACCGGGTGGGACGCGTGCGGGTGAAGTCGGTAGTAACAGACCGACTCGTCGAAGGTGACGTCCTGAGAGGACAGAACACGACGCGAGGCAGGGTGGTAGAACTGCCAGGGTGGAGCGTCGGTGGGGAAGCCCAGGAAGACACAGCGGAGAGTGCGAGGGGAGAGCTTGCTCGCTTTGGTATCGCGAACAAGGGAGAGCGCGCCCCAGACCCGAAACGACGACGCATCACCAGGCTGTCCCGTCCAACGGAGTGTGGGCGAGGTCTCTGGGCCAGAGGTTGAGCTGATGCGCGGCGTATCGGACCGCAAATGGCCACAGGAAATGGGGAGCAGCCGCATGGATCATGGAGGTACGAGCAACCTCCATGATCAGGCCAATGCGACGCTCAGCGATCCCATTTTGCTGCGGAGAGGCCGGAAGCGTGAACGACTGGGCGATGCCCTCATCCTGGCAGAACGTCTCAAGGACGCCAGAGGAGAACTCACCACCCCTGTCAGAGTGCAGACGCAGGACTGGAAAGTCCCGCCGAAACCGCTCGCGCAGCTGGTGACGAGTAGCACGGATCTAGAGGATCAAGACACCACTGACATCCGCCTTGCGCCGCAAGGGGAAGACTGTGGTGTAGCGTGTGTAGTCGTCAACCACCAGCAGGAAGTAGCGCTCCTGGTCCGTTCCACCGACGGGGGCCAGGCCCCACACGTCCAGGTGGAGAGTCTGCAGAGGAGCAGTGGTCGGAGGAAACTCGGAGGAGTGAGGAGCGGCGCGCTGCCGCCCCTCGACGCAAGGAAGGCACGGCGGCGCAAGCGAGCGCGGGAGGGGGGGCAGGGTCGCAGGGAGGCCAGAGACCAGGAGCCGGGAGTGCATGCCGCGCAGACGCAGCTGCGACGAGTGGCCAAGACGGTGGTGCCAAAGCTGCGCAGGGTGGGTGAGGAGGCGACACGAGCAGGACGCAGCGAGCTGACCGGACGCAGCCACCTGACCAGACGCAGCTACCTGTGCAGACGCTGTGGTGAGTGTGTACAGGTTCGACCCCGGCTGTCGTGTGAACGTAGCCAGGTGACGGCCTGTCTTGGCGCATGTGCAGATCGCCACACGCTGACCTCCAGGAGTAAAGGTGTCAACCCATACATCCTGAAGGACGGCGTTGCTCACCAGGTTCGTCGAGAACGAGGGGAGGTGGAGACCGGACAGAGAGCCAGAGGGGACAGCTGGGCACGGGAGGACAGTGGAGTGGCGTGCAACCACCGGGCCCCCAGAGGGGTCCGCCAGTGAGACTGGGACTGGGGTAGTGAGTGGGGTGACAGTGGTGCTGTCGCGAAAGAAGCAACGTGACGCACCAGAGTCAAGTGTGAAAGTGTGCAAGACCTCAGCAGGAGCAGCAGACTCACTAGCACCTGGGGCAGTAGCGACACTAGCACCTAGGGCAGCAGCAGACGCACTAGCACCTGGGGGAGCAGCATCACCACCAGCATCGCATGGCACACACGAGTAACACGCACCCTCAACACTATAGTCAGAAACATACATAGCATAGAGAGCAGCATTGATCTTAGCAAAGTCAAGAGCAAACACATCTACCCCTTTCCCTATCAGCTGCAGCCAGTTCGGGACCTGCTGGTCCTCGGTGTACTCAGTCACCCAGGCGTCCTCAAGACGGCCGAAGCACTTGTACTCTGTGTGCGGCTTCCCGCAGACTGTGCCCTTCAGAGGCCCCGTGCGCCGGACATAAGGGCAGCGACCAGAGTCCCCAGAGCCCCCACGCTGGAGAACCCACTCACGGAGCTGCTGGTCGGTGGGGTTGTCCGGGAGGCGTGGCAGCTGCTGACCACTCCCGTAGCCACGGGAGGGTCCACGCGCGCCACCACCCCTGCCAGACCCACCCCGACCTCCTCCGCCTCCCCCGCTACCCCAACCGCCTCCCCCACCACCGCCGCCTCCTCCACCCTGTCCGCCTCCTCCACTGCCGCCACCCCCAGAGCCACCCCCAGAACCTCCACCACCCCCGCCACCCCCTCCGCTGCTGCCACCACCACCACCCCTGCCCCCTCTGCTCTTGCTGTTGTTGCGCCGTCCACTGGGAGCAGACGCAGCGCCAACGTCCTCAGCACCAAGGAGGTCGACTGCAGCAGCGGTAGCAACTGAGGGGAGGAGAGGGGAGGGAGTACACCCTTCAAAGAAGGGGGAGCGGGGGGTGCCACGAGAGGCAGCGACAGCGACAGTGCTCTTCTCAACCTCGAGAAGGGCCTTCTCGAGCGAGTCAAGTGTGAGCTCAGTGGGGTCCATGGCTAGGAACTGGTCCCTGACAGTGCGAAGGGAGTCAGGGAGGCGAGTGATAAGAAAGTACAGGGTGAAGTACTGCGGGGGGGGGTTCTTAGCGAGAAAGTCCGGCTTGAGAGCGGCACGGAAGCGATCCTCACTAGAGCGGAGGTGGGTAAAGAGGTCAGAGACAGTGCGGAACTCAGCTAGATCGGGATGCAGGTACGGCAGCATGAGACGACCTACAGCAGCAGTAGCTGGGGAGGAGTAGCGAGAAACCACAGCGTCATAGAGATCCTTGGCCGTTTTCTGCCAGCTAAAGTGCGCGCGCTCAGTGACTGGCAGGTGGTTGCGGACAGCAAGGCGGGCAGCTGCATCACGCATGAGCCACTTAGACAGATTCTCTACAGCGTCGGCAGCAGGGGGTGGGAGCTTTCCCTCAGTGTGCAAAAACAGGGAAACACCATCCTTAGACTCGCTCTGCAGGAACAGCTGGAGATCGTCGAGCCAGACATCAAAGGTAATCGCGCGGCCCTCAGCATCGAACGTAAGAACTGACAGGTTAGCCATAGCAGCAGTAGTTGCAGCAGCAGCAGCAGTGACAGCTCGGGTTGGGCGGCGCGGCTCGGACTCAGTGGCGGAGCAGCAGCGGCAAGCAGCAGCAGCAGCCGGCGCTCAGTAGCAGAAGCAGCAGCAACGAGGAGCAGCTGCAGCAAGTAGCAGCAGCAGCAGCAAGGAGGAGCAGATGCAGCAAGTAGCACGGGCTGTAGTAGCAGGAGCTTCAGTAGCAGCAGCAGTAGCACGGGCTGTAGCAGCAGTAGCTTCAGTCAGTAGCAGCTGTAGCAAGTGCCGTAGTAGCAGCAGCAGCAGTAGCACTAGCTGTAGCAGCACTAGCTTCAGTAGCAGCAGCAGTGAGTAGCACTAGCTGTAGCAGCACTAGCTTCAGTAGCAGCAGCAGTGAGTAGCGCTAGTTGTAGCAGCACTAGCTTCAGTAGCAGCAGCAGTGAGTAGCACTAGCTGTAGCAGCACTAGCTTCAGTAGCAGCAGCAGTGAGTAGCACTAGCTGTAGTAGCACTAGCTTCAGTAGCAGCAGCAGTGAGTAGCAGTAGCTGTAGCAGCAGTAGCGTCAGTAGCAGCAGCAGTGACAGCTCGGGCTGGGCAGCGCGTAGTAGCAGTAGGCACGCGTGGGCTGTGGGCGTGCAAACCAGGGGCGCGCAACAGGTGCGTGCGGGGCAGCACTACGAGGAGCGCGCATCAGGTGCGTGCTAGGGGCTGGCGGGCAGCGTGAGTGGCGCGCGCAGCAGTAGGAACGAGGGGGGGACCGGGCGTAGGGGCTGACGGGCCGCGCTAGAGGCGCACGGGGCAGCTAGGGCTCGGTCAGGGGGGTCGCACGTGACTAGGAACAGAAAATCGCGTCTAGGCAGAAAAAAGGAACCGTCTCGCCTAGGGCACGATTTCGCATTTCGCGTTTCTCCTAGGGGCGCGACTCGGGCAGCAGGTCGAAATAGTAGTGGTGGGCCCTTTTAAAATTTCGGTCCTAAGGAGCATTTTGCTCTTAATACCATGTTTGAGTTACTAGCTAGATGAGAAGTGTCGATTAGGTAAGGGGGGGGGGGTACAAGGACTATCGAGAGAGATTGTTGTACCCTCTAAGGAAAGAACCCTACACAACCTAGAGTGAAATAAGCAGAACAATATGTTTTGACAGCACTCGTTAGCGAGGCCATCCCGAGGGTCACGCGACGAACCTGTGGGGCCTATTTCGTCGCACCGAACCACCCCCGAGTCGCCTCCGCACCAATCGCAACCATCACCGAGCCATCCTTTCCCGACCTCCCCGCCTAGCTAGCTTTTCCCCTATTTAGGCCTCGTCTCTTTCATTGTTATTCGTTATTCGTTATTATGCGCACTCTCTTTTACAACTCATAACACATACGGTCTGTGAAGATATATGTATTCAAACGCATTTGTCCGCACAGCATCTGCTTCGTCCTAGGGTTCGTTTCTATCCCGTGTCAGACACGAAGCCAGACACGAAGTTGAGGTTGGGAAGAACCAAAGGGACTCGGAATGCTGGCAAATATAGGTTCGGAAGACACAAACCGAGTCACTTTGTGTCTTTCGAAGCTTTGACCTGATGTCTGACACGGGATAGAAACGCACCCCTACTCATCTACCTTCACTCCCTTTCCTCCCCTTCATCTCTTCGGCCCAGCTCCTAAAGCCGGAAGCCCAAATTGCACAAGTTTTAAAAGGATGACGCGAGGGGTTTTTCCTGGTTTGGGTTTTGGCGAGTTATTCCGATTTCAGGCATTTCGTTTTTTTCGCCAAACCCAGCCAGCCCACGTATTTCGCCCTGGGGGTTGTGTCAGCACCCGAAAGTCCCAAATTGCAGGTGCGCTACTTTTCAAAGCTTGCACTGCACACTGCACTTCGTCAAGTTTTAAAGCTGCAGTATACATTTGAAATGTTGGGTTCAAAAACTTTTGAAATTTGAAAAGTTGCCCCAAAGCTGTGAGGCACACAATAAAAACCCTAAACCCGGCTGACAAATGTATACTGCAGCTTTAAAAGCATGACCCACGCGCCTCGCAATTTGGGACTCGGGCTCTAAGGCTGGTGGTTTGACAAGTCAAGCCATGTGCTATTTCTCAGCCTAGCGTTGTAACATTCAACTTCCGAGTTAGGTCAGAAGTGATGGAGGATGGGGAACGTTGATGGACTTCAAGCGATGCCTGGTAACCTTGTTGCTTCGTCGTTGCCGAATTCGCAGTGCGCTTCACCACATTCCTGACAGCGTCCCCTTTTCCACAACACCTGGAGTAGGTTCCTGATAGGATGCTCTGGATTCAGTACAGCTACATAAGTTATAAATTATTGTGTTTTGAATATCGCAGATTGGCGTCGTGGCACGGTGCGTCTTTTGCCTGGTAGATACGATCAGCTTGTCCTGATAGCTACTACGATCAGCTTCACGACAGAAATGGCCGCCTCTCGCATTCGCGTTGCTTTTCCTCTTCAAGTCCTCATTCTCGTGGCTGTAACACTCGCAGTGTCAGGTCCTCTTGTAGCGGGGACAAATGCACCAGCCTCTTTCCCTGCGGACTTATCAGCAGCGGATGCGACTCGGGAGTACTTGCGTCCGCGCCTGTCCGTGGCGCACAGGAAGCTCGCCGCCGAGACCGGCGCCGAAACTTACGCCGAAATTCCCGCCGTGACGTCCGGCGCAACTCGCGCCGCGAAATCCGGCCAGTCTGCCGCAGAGCACGCCGCGGAGGCATTAACAGATATCACAGCCGGTTATAATGCGAATGCGGAGTTTCCGGGCGGTCGAGACACGACAGCAACGCAAAAGGGAGCAGATGTAACTGAAGCTGCTGTCGTGGACACGTGGCAGCGTGTAACTGGCTCCGCGGCAGTGGGAGGGGATCGGCGAATCATGGCAGAGGGGGAGGAGCGAAAGGGAACTGTCTCGCGGTGGTTTGGACTGAAGCGAGATAGTGGAGAAGGGAAGGGTTGGAGGGGGACGGGTGTAACAGGAACTGGGACAGGTGAAGGGGAGAGAATGGGAGTGAGGGAGGGAGTGAGGACGGGAGTGAGGATGGGGAGGGGTAATGCTGCGGGAAAGGTTGAGAAGGCAGAGGGAGAGGCTGAGGAGGAGGAAGAGGAAGAGGAAGAGGAGGAAGGGGAGGAGGAAGGAAAGGAGGGGGTTGGGAGTGCAGCCACGGGAGGGAGCGGCCTTGGGAGTATCCGAGAAGGTGGTGGCGGAGTGAAGGCTGGTGGTGATGGTGTTGAAGGTGATAATAGGGGGGGGTATGGTGTACGAAAAGGCAAGGCAGAGAAACAGGAAGAAAAGGAAGCGAAGGAGGAGGAAGAGGAAGAGGAAGAGGAGGATGAGGAGGGAGAAGAAGCGAAGGAGGGTGGGGCAGGAGTGAAACCTAGTGGGGAGGGGTTGTTGGGAAGGACAGGCAATAGGAATTTCAATGACGGTCAAGCAGTCAACTCTGATGCTGTGAGGAGAGGTGAAGTTTCAACGAGGGGGGTGACACTAACGAGGGGTGGTGGTGGTCCTGTGTTGACGAACTCGCCGAATTTGAACACAGAGAGAGCAGTGGGAATGGGAGTGGGAGTGGGAAGGCCGGTGGTTGAGGGGACGAAGGGACGGGAGAAGGTGAAGTTAGCAGGGCAGGAGGCGAAGGAAGAGGAGGAAGAGGAGGAAGAAGAGGAAGAGGAAGGGGAAGGGGAAGGTAAGGAGGAGGAGACGGCAGCGGGGAAGACGTCTCAAGGCAAGCAAGGAGGCACGGCCCTTACCAGAAGAGGATCTGACGCAGCTGGGACTGCTGCTGTAGCGGCTACAGCTGCTGGCACTGGTAGCACTTTCTCTTCGCTGCAAACTGCTGCTGGTAGTGCGGTGAAGAAGGGGAAAGTGGAAGAGGAGGAAGAGGAGGAGGAGGAGGAGGAGGAGGAAGAGGAGGAAACAGGGACGAAGACGTCTCAAGGCAAACAAGGAGCCACGGCCCTTACCACAAGAGGAACTGACCCAGCTGGAGCTGCTGCTGTAGCGGCTACAGCTGATAGCACTGGCACTGGCAGCTCCTTCTCTCCACTGCAAACTGCTGCTGGCAGTGTGGTGAAGAAGAATGCGGAGGAGGAAGAGGAGGAAGCTGAGGAGGAGGAGGAGGAAGAAGAGGAAGAAACAGGGGCAAAGACGTCTCAGGCAAAGGAAGGAGCCACAGCCCGAGCCACACCCATTACCACAACTGGAACCGACACAGGTCGGGCTGCTGCTGCTGTAGCCGCTACAGCTGCTGACACTGGCACTGGCAGTTCTAGTTTTCCAATGCGAACAGCTGCTGGCAGTGCAGTCAAGGAGAAGAAAGAGGAAGAGGAAGAGGAGGAGGAGGATGAGGAGGAGGAGGAGACTGAGGAGAAGACTTCTGCTGCCAAGCACGGAGCCATGCCTCTTACCACAGTGGGGAGTGACGCAGCTGGTGCTGCTGCTGTAGCGGCTACAGCTGGTAGAACTGGCACTGGCAGCTTTACTTCTCCGCTACAAACTGGTGCTGGCAGTGGGGTCAAGAAGGAGACGGAAAAAGAGGAAGAGGAGGAGGAAGAGGAGGAGGAGGAGGAGGAAGGGGAGGCAGAGGAGAAGACGTCTCAAGCCAAGCAAGGAACTGCGTCTACTGCCACAGGCACTGGAGCTGCTGGTGCTACAATACCGGCTACAGCTGCTACAGCCACTACAGCCGCTACAGCTGCTACAGATGCAGCTACAGCCAGAGGTGTTGGGAATTCACTGAACTCGTTAAAGACTGCTGTTGGCAGTGCAGTGAAGGAGGAAGGGGAAGAGGAAGAGGAGGAGGAAGAGGAAGAGGAGAAGGAGAAGGAAGAGGAGGAGAAGGAAAAGGAGGAGAAAGGCGAGGTAGGGAGCAAAGCTGGTGCATGGGCAGCAGGAGCAAATGCAGTGGGTGCAACGAGGGCAGGAGCAGGGGCAGGGACAGGGACAGGGGCAGGGGCAGTGACAGGGGCAGGAATATGGCCAAGGCCGAGTGAAGGGTTACAGGAGAGGGGTGGAGCAGGTGGGAAGGGTAACAGAGGCGAGGGGAAAGGAGAGGAAGGCGAAGAGGAAGAGGAGGACGAAGAAGAAGAAGGGGAGGAAGTGAAGGAAGTGGGTGAGGGGATGGTAAAAGGAGAGAAGATCCGGGCAAGAGATGGTGTTGGTGCTGGTGCTGGTGGTGCTGGTTTTGGCAGCACAAAGGGTACAGATCTATCTGGTACAAGTGCAACTCGTTTTGAGACGCCCCAGCTCAGCAAGGGCGCAGAATTATCTGGTGCAGGTGCGATTGGGAAGGATAAAGAGGATGAGGGAGAGGAAGAGGAGGGAGAGGAAGAGGACGAGGAAGAAAAAGAAGAAGGGTCAGGAGGAAGAGACACAGCTGCTGTTGATGTTGGAAGAAGTGGGTTAACTGCTGGTGGGGCCTTTCCCGGTGGCACTCTTCCATCTGGCAGTAGCGAATCAGCTTATAAGGGAGCAACCAGCAGCTTTGAATCCGGGAGTAGTGGCAGAGGAGGAGGTGGTGGTAGCGGTGGGGATCCTGATGAGGTGGAAGGGACGAGCGTGGTGGGGAAGGGGCCTCCAGAGACCAGCTCTTTTGCTGCTGCGACTGCTGCTAGTGCTGCTACTGCTGCGACTGGTGCTGGTGCTGGCTATACTGGCACTGGTGGTGGTGGTGTTGCTAGTGGTGCCAGCAGTGCTGGTTCGGGTGCTGGTTCCCGTGCTGCTTCTTCTGGGTTAGTTTCTCATCGTGCTGGTGGTAAGAAGGCAGGGAGGGCAGAGGACGAAGAAGAGGAGGGGAATGGGGAGGAAGAGGAGGAGGAGGAAGAGGAAGAAGAGGAAAAAGGAGGCGTCCAAGGGAGAGGTGTGGCAGGGGAAGCATCTGAAGGTAAGCTGTCGGGTGGGGCTTCGAGTGGAGGTGTGGTTCAGTCAGAGCCGAGAGGTTCGAGAGTGAGTGAGTCCGGACGGATTAAGTCAGGAGGGGGGACGAAGTCAGGCGTGACTAAGGCAGGAGTGACAGCAGAAGAAACTGTATTAAAGGGAAAGCGAGGCACAGAGGAGAAGGAGGAGGAAGAAGAGGAAGAGGAGGAGGAAGAGGAGGATGGGAAGGAGGAGGAGGATGAGGAGAAACCAAGCACAAAGAAAGCATTGGGTGGAAAAGGAGAAGCATCAGACGGTGAATTAGAATCGGAGCGTGTGTCACCGCTTACAAAATCCTCTTCAGATTCATTAGTGAAGGCTGGTGGCGTGAGCCGTGCTGTGACTGTAGGAGGAGGTGATTCAAGGGGTGCGGGGGGAGATGATAGCAGTGGAAGAGAAAGGCTGGAGAAGGGAGGGATGGGAGGAGCAGGAAGAGTGAAGGGGGGGGATGAGGAGGAGGAGGAAGAGGGGGAAGAGGAGGATGGAGAAGAAGCAGAAGAGGAGGAGAGTGTAGGAAAACTGAAGGGGAAGTCAAAGTCTGGTGGTGCTTCAGGTGCTGCTTCAGGTGTTGGTTCAGGTGTCGGTTCAGGTGTTGGTTCTGATGCTGGTTTGACGAAGCCTGGAGCAACTGGAACCCGGAAACGAACGCGAATGGCAGATTCAAGTATAAGTGCAGGTAGTTCTGAGTTGACTCGAAACAGTGAAAGTGCAAGTGCAGGTAAGCTTACAGAGGCAGCAGCTAAGAGTGGTGGCAGTAAGGCAGACGATGAGGAGGAGGATGAGGAGGAAGAGGGAGAAGAGGAAGAGGAAGGGAAAGCAGATAGGAAACAGGAGGAGAGAGTTGGGACGAGGGAGGAGGGAGTGAGAGGGGAGAGGGTGGGTGGAGGGGTGAGTGGAGAGTGGGGTAAGAAGAGTGGGACGCGGGAGGAGGGGGATGAAGGCACGAGGATGGAGGGGGTTGGGCGAGGGGGCAGGGATGGTGCTGTTGGTGAGAGAGGGGAGGACGAAAGGGCAGCGACAGGTGGGATTCCTGTGAGAGGAAAGGGGGTCGGAGGGCAGAAGGGAAAGGAGCAGGGTGAGGAAGAGGAGGAGGAGGAAGGTGAGGAGGAAGATGAGGAAGGGGAGGAAGAGGGAGAGGAGGAGGAGGAGGAGGAGGAGGAGAAGAAAAGTGTGGGGAGAAAGGCTGGTACGGGAAAGGTGAAAAAGGGAGTGTCAGGAGGAAGAGGAGAAGCAGGGGAGGAGGAAGAGGGGTCTCAGGAGAGGGATGACGAGTCAGAAGGGAAGGAAGAAGAGGAATCAAAAGGGAGGGAAGAGGACGAGTCAGAAGGGAAGGAGGGAGAGGAATCAGAAGGGCAGGCGTCAATGAGGGGTGGGTTTACAAAGGCGGGGCAGCAGCAGTCGAGGGAGCAGGCGGAGGGAGATAGTGAGGTGAGTGAAGCTGCTGCTGCTGCTGTTGCTGCCTCTGCTGGTGGTGGTGGTGGTGGTGCAGGGGAGGGGAAGGTGAGGAGAGGAACTGGTGGAGGAGAGGAAGGGGCGATGGGGGAGCGGAAGGGCGGGAAAGGCAAAGAGGGAAGTGCAGGCGAGGATGAGAGTGAGGATGAAGAGTCGGAGGAAGAGGAGGAAGAAGACGAGGAGAGTGGTGAGAGGAAGAAGAGAGGGCCAGAGGAGGAAGCGGTTCGCGGGAAGAAGGGAGGGGAGGAGGAGGAAGAGACGGGAAGTGACGAGGAAAGAGAAGAGAAGGGAGAAGGGAAGAGAGGTGAGGAGGGTGAGGGCGTTGAGAGCAGATTAGCTGGGAAGGGAAAGCGGGAGGCCGAGGAGGGGGAGAGGGATGGGGTGGAGGAGAGAGAGGAGGGGGAGGAGGAAGGGGGAGGAGCTAAAGGTGGCAAAAAGGGAGGAGAGGTGCGAGAAGAGGAAGAAGGACGAGGGCGGGAGGATGTAAGAGAGGGGGGAAGGGGCGAGGGAAGGGAGGAGGAAAGGGAGGAGGGAACGGAGGAGAGAACGGAGGGGAGGGAGGAGGAAAGGGAGGAGGGAAGAGAGGAGGGAAGGGAGCAGGAAAGGGAGGAGGAAAGAAGGGAGAAAGGGGACGAAGAGGGCGATGGTCTTCATTATAAGACAGGTGGTGAGCGTGATAGTGGTGGTGATGGTGGTGGTGAGCATGGTGATGGGGGAGGGGAGCGTGAGTGGGGAATGAGAGGTGGTGAGGGTGGAGGAGGAGGAGAAGGTATGGGAGAAAGAGGAGAAGGAATGGGAGAAGGAATGGGAGAAAGAGGAGGAGAAGGAACGGGAGAAGGAGGAGGAGATACTGATGATAGAGGAACGGGGAGAGATGCTGGGGGGGATGAGAGGCAGCAAGGGGAGGCTGGGGAATCAGGAATTGGAGAGGCAAAGGGAGAGCACGAGAGCAAAACTCCAGATGGTTTTTCCTCCCCCTATGCTGCTGCGCACGGTGACACCACCCACGGCCAGAGGGAAGGCGACCCTTCCTATGGCCGCGCACAGGGGCAGCAAGGCAGTGAGTTTGGCAGCAGCAGCGGTGTCGGGAGGGAGACGGAGTTTGGCAGAGAACAGGGGCAGCAAGGCTCTGACTTCAGCAGCAGCAGCAACAGCAACGTGAGGGAGAATGAGTTAGGCGGATCACATTGGGAGCAAGGGACTGAGCCTGGCACAGCACAGGGGGGGGTGGCAAGGGCGGAAATGGGCAGCAGCAGCGACGTGAGTGTCCCAGACGATCATTCCCTGGGCCTGGGGCTGGGCTTTGGGCAGGCAGCAGCAGGGGAAGATGCAGACTGGGACTTACCTCTGCCCCAGCCCGTGCTACAGACGCGGGCTCAGGCTGTAGCAGAGGGGTTCAGAGAGGCTGCAGGAAGATTCGTGCCGATGCTGCCTGTGGAACAGGTGAGATGCTGTGCAGGTGGGATGTGGGGGAGGTAGACACGAACTGGGACGTGCCCCTGCCCCAGCCTGTGCTGCAGACGCGGGCGTCAGAGAGGCCGCAGGGCGATTCGTGCCGTTGCTGCCTGTCGAACAGGTGAGATGCAGTGCAGGTAGATGTGGGGCAGGTGAGGGTTGGGGTGGGTTGTTGACTAGGTGTTTTGAACAGACGTGGTTGTATGTTCTTTACGCACGGCCCACTCGTCACAGATTCGTGTTCAACCAACTGCCATGTAATGTAACCCTCTCTCTTGTACCAGGTGAAGCGGGTGGAGGAAGCTGCCAAGAAGTTTGCCAAAGATGGAACCATCATCTTTGCAGCAGCATCGTATGGTGAGTCACGCCCCCCTTGTCATTCACCCCCCTTGTCATTCACCCCCCTTGTCATTCACCCCCCTTGTCATTCACCCCCCTTGTCATTCACCCCCCTTGTCATTCACCCCCCTTGTCATTCACCCCCCTTGTCATTCGCCCCCCTTGTCATTCGCCCCCCTGCCTGCCTTGTCATTCGCCCCCACCCTTTCATCTGCTCGCGTTGTAATCCACCTGCCTGTGACTCTTTCCAGATGTCCCTAAGGAATCGCGTACCTCCATGCTCCTCCCCTCCCTCCCCCTCCCAACCCCCTGTCCAGTGTACCTGCCTCTCTTCCGCAACTGGGTCACCGCTCTCAACCGCATTGGCCTGTCTAACCACTTCCTGCTCTTCGCCCTCGATCAGGTGAGATGTGGGGGAGGTGGGAATGGGTGGAGGTGTGATGGGGGAGATGGGAGCGCGGGAGGTGGGATTGGGGAGAAGGTGTGATTTGTGGGGACGTGGGATGGGGAGGCGATGTGACTGGGGAGAGGTGGAATGCCTGGCCATGCCGTGTGGCTCAAACAGCCAGACCTCAGCACGCATCACCTCAAAATGACCCCCTTCCTTTTCATGTATGTGTGTGGCACTGGAGGATGCTTATCCAGGCCACGCCATGTGGTTGCTGCCCAGAACTAAACCAGCAATATCACCTCAAATCCCTCCCCCCCCCCTCCTCAACTCTGTTCGCTACTCCTTTCCTCACCAGGCAATGTACATGGCAGTGGAGGACGCCTATCCCGGCCATGCCATGTGGCTTGAAGTGGCAAATCTGACCCAGCATCCTACACCGCGCCCCACCGCTTTCCACCACCTCGGCTCCCCGGAGTTCCTCCTCCTGGCCGCCCGCCGCCCCTTCTTCGTGCGAGCGCTGCTCAAGGCTGGAGTGAACGCCCTTTACAGGTAACAAGTGCCTTTCCAGTGATCAAGTTTCTTTACACCCATTCCTTTTTCCATTCCCAATAGGCTTGTCCCATCCGTTCTCTCACCTCCTTCCATCTCGTCTTCCCCGTCCCCACTCTCCCTTCTTCCTCCCCCCTCCAACCTTAAATCAGAACCCATTCGTTCCCCTGTGCTCCCTCTCTGTTCCCCATCTCTCACTGCAGTGATCTTGACACAGTGTGGCTCAAGAACCCTCTCCCCTCCTTCTCCCCCGCCCTCGACATTATCTTCCAAGACGACTCCCACCTCTTCTCCCCCGGAGAGCTCTCCCCTCTCCCACTCCCCTCCTCCCCCTCCTCCTCCTCTCCTTCCAATTCCTCTCTCGCCGTCCCTCTCCCTTGGTCGCAAATCGCCCGAGCCTCCCCGTGCCTGGCAATGTTCCACCAAACCAAGGCCACCGAAGCTGTGGTGGAGGATTGGGCTCGGAGAATGGCAACGGTAGACTACACCTACGCCGTGCCTAGCAGTGATGTACCCCTGCTGCAAAAGGCCCTATTTCAAATGGCTAAGGATGGAAAACCGCTCAAAGTGGGTATTTTACCTCAAGAATCCTTCCCTCCTGGGTGGCTTGCCTTCAGTCCTCTAGGTTCCTCCTCCCCTTCAGCTTCATCCTCGTTAGAAGCCTCTCAGCTACCAGGATTAGGATCTGAAGCACTTATGAAGGATCAGCTGCCGTCGTCGCTGTCGTTTGGTGGAGCGGTAGAGAGGGGGGTAGGGGGGAGGGTGTGGTTGCAGGAGCACAGGGAGGAGGTGGTGGTGGTGCATTGCAATGCTGCCCGCCTGCTGCCGTTCAAGATAGATGCGATGAAAGGTGCTGGCGTGTGGTTCTCTGATGCTGCAGAGTGAAAGGTGTGGACTGGTTGACGGTCTGAGTTGCTTCTGAAGATTCAGCTAGCATTGTTGCTGTCGTTCGGTGGAGCGGTGCGGTAACCAGGTGGGCGGTAGGGGGGAGGGGAGGGTGTGGTTGCAGGAGCACAGGGAGGAGGTGGTGGTGGTGCATTGCAACACTGCTCGCTTGCTGCCGTTTAAGATAGATGCGATGAAGGGTGCTGGTGTGTGGTTCTCTGATGCTGCAGAGTGAAGGTGTTGTTACCGTACTTGACAAACTAGTGGTGCTTGGATGTGGTGGGGTGGTGGTGGTGGCTGCTGCATTGCTCAGAATGCACATGGGCTGCTGCCAATAAAATAATGACTGTGTTTGAGTGAGTGATTGAGTCTGTCATGGTTGCTTCCCTTCAAGAGGATGTTGTTATGACTGTTTGAAATGTCATAGACTCTAAAGGAAGAACATCTTTTACTCTTTCATTGCTCCTGTTTCGTTTGTATCTTGAAGTTGATATACATTCAGCTGGAGGATTCGTTGCTGCGGCGTTGTTAATAACGAAGCGAGGGCATCTCCCTGCCTTCACCACCCACCAACCACTAAAAAGCGATGACAGTTTCTCAGATCTGCCCCGCAAAAAATCACCCAATGTCACAAAACCGAGCAGAAACGTACAAAACCTTTTAAACATCACTGTGTCGCAACTTCAGTGAAACTGTGAGTGACGTGATCAGCGAGACTGTGTCACAAGTTCCGTAACTCCGTTTCGTCAGTCACAGCACCTACATTGTGTTCTTTTTACCTACATAAAGGCGTCACAGCCTGTTTTCCAGACCGTTACTCCTTACAGTAGAGGTGCATTGCCGTCTGATCTGCGTCCCTTCACCGGCAGGATGCAGATTTCACGGGTATTAGTGGTTAGTCTAGCCGTTCTAGGAGTAGGTCTGTGCTGCTTAGCTAATGGAGAGTCGTTACCCGAAGCCGGCACAAGCTCTTTCGGTGTAAGCTCCAGCCGGCGTCAATCATCCTTTACTTTACTTTGTTTTCTTCTCAACGCACCATCTTTATAAATCCCGGTAGGCGGGATGCAGATTAACGGCATGATCCATGAGGATTAGCCGAAACAGTGATCTATTTTGTTCCACTGCAGCATTTCGTACGTGATATGTAAGGCTATGCTGTTTAATACTTCTTAAGTTCCTTTTCTCTACCGGTCATCCTGTTTTCTCACAGATGCGAGAGTTGCTGCAAGATGACACCAAGACCTTACGAGAGGGCAAGGTAGCTATTCCCTTTCCGTCCAGCAAGCATTAGGAAGTCATAATGTTGATGCTTTTAGGTCTATCTTTACGATGTCAGTCCAGGGTTCCGGCTGAAACTTTTAGATGGTGCGGGCACGGTGTCGGAGGAATTCGAAGTTAATGGCCGACGCAGCCTGTAGCACTTCTGAGGCGCCTCAAAATATATTGATTTATGAAGATTCGAGGTTAGCAATTGGGGGAAATGGCAGGCGGAGCCTGCACCACCGTAAGTATAGCCGCCGAGAGTAGGTGATCTGCAATGTTCTGACACGACGTATCGTACGCTGCGTCACGTGTAGTTGCCATCACATTGAATCGCGCGAGTCTCAGAAATTAACTTCGGAAGTGAATGTAAAGTCTGATGAATTACCGCATTTGTCTTTGCAAGTGTTATAATCATAACGAGTTCTCTGTTATCGCGTTCACGGTGAGCAGCTCCTGGCGGAGACTCTCGCGGATGCAGCCGGAGAAGCGACCCAGGCAGCAGCCGCTGGCGCCAAGGGGAACAACAACGGGTGGGGTGGAGGGGCGGAGAGCGGTTCAGAGGGGTGGAAGGATGCGCTGTGGTCGCCAGCCAAGCTGCTGGACGCATTTGTGACGAGCCTGTCCATGATCCTCGTCAGCGAGGTGAGTCGCACTTGTGAGACGCCTGGGGAATGATCAGAAGGGACCAGCAGAGGATGGCAGCCTGCCCCTGCCACATGGCAGGATGCGATGCTGTGTGCTCCCCTTCACTTCACCCTACACGATTTTGTTCCCCATTCACCCCACCGAATACTGATTAGAAATGAAACGTTTATCCTGACAGGCAGCCCGGATGGCCATCCGCCATCGTCCCCGCAGCACCCAAAAACCCCCGCAGCATTTTGCTAGATACCAGTTATCATGCCGTCGCGCTGCTTGATTCTCTACCCCCTCCCTCCCCCCCCCCCCCCCCCGCGCTTTCTTTATTCACTTGATATCGCCGCGTGTGTGTGCTACAGATCGGAGACGAGACGTTCATCATCGCTGCGCTCATGGCCATGCGCCATCCGCGCAGCATCGTGCTGGCTGGAGCGCTCTCTGCTCTTGGGATCATGACGGTGAGTTGAGTTGAGTTGAGTTGGCACTGTGTGTATGGTGGTATGGCAACACAGTGACTGACCTCATGCTTAGGTGTCCAATGCGCCATCCGCGCAGCATTGTGCTGGCTGGAGCGCTCTCTGCTCTTGGGATCATGACGGTGAGTTTGCTTGTATGTGGTATTGTGGAAGTGCCTTAAGTGTTCACGCGGTCATGGCTACATGGCAGCCTTTCCCCTTTCTCCTCTTAGCCCGTTTCCTCTTCTTTACCCCTTCTTTACCCCCTGCGCACAGGTCCTATCCACTAGTCCACAATTTCCCATCTTCCGTCTCACAGTGCCCAGCCTCCCATCCCATTCTTCTGTTCCCTCTCCACCTCCACGAGTTCCTTTTGAGGCGCCTCAAAAGTCGTTCCTCCTCCACCTCCCCATTCTCCTCATCACATGCGCAGGCACTATCCACGAATCTGGGCTTCATAGTGCCCAGCCTCCCCTATCCCCCCCGCCAAACCCCACCCCTCTCCTTGCCCTTTGCCCCTCTTTGCCCCTTTCCCCCCTCACGCTATGCTCATTGCCGCTCTTGTCCATCTCTCACGCACAGGTTCTATCAACGGGACTGGGCCTCATTGTGCCCAACCTCATTTCCAGAAAGGCCACGAACAGCGCTGCCACGGGTGAGTCGGGGTCTTGCGAGGTGACCAGTGTTGGCCCAGAGAAGAGCGAAAGTGGCGTTTGAGGAAAAGGACCATTCCCGGAAGTCGATGCTATATCAGTTGAGCCTCACAATGTTGCACACTATTGGCCTCGCGTTCTCTACATGTCAATGCCCCCATCACCCCCATCACCCCCATCACCCCATTCACTTGTGCCCCACCCCCATGCCCCTGGCAGTGCTGTACACTTTCTTCGGCCTGCGTCTGCTGTACATCGCATGGAGGGCCGAGGGCAGACCCCATGCAAGGAGTGCATGAGATGAGACCATTGACCCCCCTTGCACGCTACCATCCCCAACCCCCTCCCTCCCCCCCCCCCCCCATGCAGTGCTGTACACTTTCTTCGGCCTGCGTCTGCTGTACATCGCATGGAGGGCCGACCCTAAGGAATCTGCTGCAAAGGAGATGGAGGAGGTGGGTGTTTCCGTTGATGTCACAAAGGCGTGCTTGATACGTGCGAATGAATGCCTCTTGTATGATGTATCTAACAGTTGTCACAGTTTCAGGAGATTAATTGTTGCTGCATGACACTTCGGTCGCTGTGAGTGTTGGAAGTCACTTATCCTTCTTCTGAAATCCTTCTTCTACTCCTCGCTGTGCTGTGTGGCTGGAGCAGGTGGAGGAGAAGTTGGAGAGCGAGGAGAATGACAAGGGCAGGCACAGAGGCATTCGCAAGTTCTTTGCTGGCTTCTGCACGCCTGTCTTCCTAGAGGTGAGTAGTCCCTTCCCTTCACCTCTGTTGCTTCCGTCCTTTTTGCTTCTTCCCCTGTTGCCTCTTCCTACGCCCCCGAGGGCTTCAAATGTGTTCAATTGTTCACCATCTGTGTCCCACTGTTCATTCAGGTTTGCTGTTCGCTGCTCTTTGCTCCGCTGTCCTTCACTTCCACCCGTTCCTGTTCACCTCTCCACATGGCCTACCCTCCTCCCCTTCCCCCTTCCTCCCCTCCAAATCTCCTCCCCTCCTCCTGCCAGGCCTTCATTCTCACCTTTCTTGCAGAGTGGGGCGATCGCAGCCAAATCGCTACCATTGCTGTAAGTCTCTACCATTGCTGTAAGTCTTTCTAGCAAGCCAATCACATCTGTTGCACTGAGTAGTACAGCGGATGTGGACAGTCAGGGGATGTTGACTTGAAATAGTGCTGTGTATGGAGAGGATTCTTGAGGCACCTCAATAGTCGTATTTCGAGGAGGTAGGTGGTTGTGGAGGTTCGATCATATTCATCCCCCTTTTTACTCCCCCTCCCACATGTGCAGCTGGCAGCAGCACACAAGAACGCCTTGGGAGTGACAGTGGTGCAGTATCAGGCCATGCGGTGTGCAGTGCACCACCATTGCAGTGGTGGGCGGCAGAGTGATTCTCTGACATTATAAAAACTCCTCCAACACTCCACTGCCCTGTCCGTCCCCCCTCTCCCCTTCGCACACACATGCAGCTGGCAGCACACAAGAACGCCTTGGGAGTGACGGTGGGGGCGACTCTGGGCCATGTGGTGTGCACCACCATTGCAGTGGTGGGTGGCAGACTGCTTGCCTTGCGCATCTCGCAGCGCACTGTAGCTATGATGGGAGGAGCACTGTTCCTCATTTTCGCCGTCCACTCATACTACTCCCCTATAGAGTAACTGTAAGGTGATTTTGCGCAAGCCTTGTGGGTGGTCGAAATTTCTAGGAAGTGTTGTGCAGGATTGCTGGAGGGGTTCCTGACATAAGCCTATTTGCTCTCAGCAGCTCATGACAGATGTGCCTTTTTATGCATAAGCTGTGCTATTGTTCATTCTACGATTTATTTTAACATTCAATAGCTCGATGCCACAAGTTCTGCACCCATCTCTAGGATTTGTGGAGACAGACTGCCTGCTGGCTTTCACCCTGTTCTCATCCTGGCTTGCATTGTACAGCTTTGTGTTAGGCCTGCAATGTAGGAGAAAATGCCTGAAAGCTTGCTATATATATGGGTTTTTACAATGATTCCAATTCTTTCCTCTTTCATTTCACTCACCTCAGGGTAAAGGCATGCTTCGTACAGTCACAGGACTGACCTTGACCACCTCTCATTGGCCCTCGCTCTTCTTATCGAGGAGCCACCTCAGCTCATCATGCGCTGGACACAGTTTCTCTTGTCTGGTTGGCTCGCGAAAATTCCTCCCTCGATCTTGCCAAACACGCTCAGCACGTGGCGCAAATTGATGATGAGGGTCTTGTTTGATCTCATGCCCATAGGAAACCGGGTTCGTAATTGCAGCGAAGTTGGATGCGGCCCTGTGAGATGCAATTAACATAATCAAGTCTCTAGTGCGGTGACGAGCAGAGCATCTGAGATTTTTTTGATCGTTCTCGAGATTGCACTCGAGAACGACCTCTTCTGACAAACTGACTGGTGACTGGTGACTGTCCTGCGCGGAGTGGTTGGTGGTCGCTATGGAATCGCGATAGCAAGCTTGCTTAGGACACGTACATTTCGCCAATTAGACTCGTTTAGGTGACAATTTTATGTTCTTCGGTCGCTGGTTATCCCTCAGGAAGCGGAGCTATCCGCTCTGCCACTCGTGCAAAGTGCAGATGTCGATCCGCCTCACCACGCGTAGCTTACGTTAGGCTCTTATTATTTTGTTATTTCCGTCTGATTTCGCATGGTCTTCATGGACGTGCATCGTCTGCCGTACGTTTATTCGGAACGGGTAGCCAGCTCGCAGTTGATCATCAGAAGCATCAATGGATCCTCGATCCGCAGACCGAAAGGGTTTATCAGGCTGTCCCTTGGCTTTCAACCTTCTGGTCCAAAAGGTAGCGAAGCGGAAGTCAGCACTAGGGTAAATAGCTGTTCTTGGGCTTTAACGAAAGCTCGTCGCAAGTCTTCGACCAGGCAAGCTACCCCCCCTCACGCACGACGGTGCGTTGTGACATTCGCGTTACAGCACTCTTCGCTAGCAGCAAGCGCGAGCTCGGAACACGACTCAGCCGAGCAAACCGATCCGGGGTTGCTATGGGATTTCTCCTTCGATTCCGACGAGGACGACGGGCCTCTGCCAGAAGCCCCGTCGCGCTGCTTGCTGCACGCCTTTTCGTGGTCGTCGCATGAATCGGGAGGAGGAGGGATCAACGGCAGGTGGTATGACGTGCTGGCGGAACGAGTGGGTGATTTCAAGGCGATGGGTTTTTCGGACCTCGTTTTCCCGCCCTGCTGCAAGGCTGCTGATGGACCAGGTGAGTTTCCATGTCAGGTGATTCTTCATGTCAGGTGATTCTTCATGTCAGGTGAATCAATGTTGGTTGATACTTCTTGTCACGTGAATACATATGTCAGGTACATTGGTCCATCGCATTAAAGACTTACCTCCATATATTCAAAATGTAACATTTTTTTCTCTGTCTTACGCAGGTTTCTCTCCAGTGGACTTTTACGACCTCAATAGCGCGTACGGAACAGAGGCCAGCCTGCGGAAGCTGCTGGCGCAGCTGCACGCAGCAGGGCTGGGCGCGTGCCTGCACGTGGTGGTGAACCGGATGGGCGGATGGGGGGAGACGAGCGGATCGGAGCAGCAGCAACAGCAACAGCAGCAGATGGGGGAAGGAAGTGGGGTGCCAGGGGGAGTAGGACCCGGCGAGCCAGGGCTGTCAGAGTGGAACCGACTCACTAACACGGTGGACGAGGTGAGTGGGTCCCTTAGTCGTTGTAACTTACTTCTGAGATTCAAAGGTACTCTGTGCTTCGTCCCCTTGCCCAGCCTTTCAAAACTCGTGCCCCCTTCCCTTGCAATCCCAGTGGGAGTTTGGCGGCAGATCTGGGAGTTCCCTCCTTCCCACTTTCCAGATTCCCTCCTTTCACTCGCTTCTCCCTTCCCGTTCAATCGTCCACCCTGTCCTTCCCGTCCGTCCTGCCAGCAGTGTGCGGCAGGGGGGGCAGGTTGACATGCACGCATCTCCGTGAGGGGTGGGGGGCAGGTAGCAACAGAAACCATGTGTATCCCGTACTCAACAGGAGGACGTTTGAGTCCACGCTCAACGATCTCCCTTTCCTTTTTCCCCGCGTCCAGGCAGCCTGCAGTGGGGCGGCAGGGCGATGAGGCTGACCTGCATGCTTCAAGGGGGGAAGAAATAGTAGCAGACCATACTCCAGTCCACAGTGCAGCATTCATTACTGGATTCTCAACATGAACCCCCCCGTGTGCAGCCTGCAGTGGGGCGGCAGGGCGAGCAGGAGGGCATTGGTGCGCAAGCAGCGGGGGGAAGGAGTGGCGTGATGGACCATGGGAACCCGGCAGTGGAGGAAGACTTGTGAGATCAGAAAGCAATTATCTCCCCTACCCCCTCTCTTACCCTTTTCCCCGTGTTCAGCCTGCCGTGTGGCGGCAGGGAGAGCAGGGGGGCATTGACGTGCAGGCATCAGCGGGGGCGAGGAGCAGTGTGATGGACCATGGGAACCCCGCAGTGGAGGAGGACTGTAAGGGGTGGCTGCGATGGCTGCGATACGACGTTGGCTTCGATGTGAGTGGGAGCAGCAGCGAGTCTGCCAAAGCACATTTCCTTTCTGGCGAGGCTGGTTCTGCACATCGTGTCCCTCTTTTATCTCCTTGATTATCACATTGATGTGTTCCCCATGCCCCGCCTACAGTGCTTTCCACTTCTTTTTGCTGCCCCTGCCATGCCCCGTTACTGTGTTTCCTCTCTTCTACTTTTTTTTTGCTGCCCCTGCCATGGCCCCCTTACTGTGTTTCCGCTGCTCCGCTCCTCTTTTCTCCCCTGCAGGCGTGGTGTTTCGACCTCGCACGTGCCTTCGACCCTGCAGTAGCCCACTCGTGAGTCACTCACTCCTCTCGTACCGAACCATGCCCCCAGCATAGCCAATACCGAACCAAACCTTTGCGTCCCTAGCGTTGCCCCAAATCGGTTTTTCAGCAAATTTCTTGCCTGTCAGCGTTTCAGCAAATTTCTTGCCTGTCAGCGTTTCAGCAAATTTCTTGCCTGTCAGCGTTTCAGCAAATTTCTTGCCTGTCGGTGCCGCTGTGCTCAGAGGCTGCCTGTGTCTGCGCCCATCCACCCGCCCATAGGCACTCGGTGCAGGTACTGCTGGGATACGAGCCCCACGTTTGCTGTCGCTGATGTGTGGACGGAGATGCGATACCAGGGCAGCAACCTCGAGTACGACCAAGGTGGGCAGAGAGGGGAGCGCTGTTGGATTATTTTTCAAGTCATTTCACAAGTCGCACTCGTGAGGAGCACCTGAAACACCTTGAGCTGGTTCTGTCACGGCTGAGTGAGCATTGATTGTTTGCTAAGCGTTCAAAGTGTGAGTTTGCAAAAACAAGACTGTCATTTCTGGGTCATGTCATCTCTCATGGGAAGCTGGAGGTGCACAACATTAAGGCAGCAGTGCTGAAGGAGTGGAAGCAGCCGAGCTCAACAGTCATCACTAAACTCGGCTGCTTCCACTCCTTCAGCACTGCTGTCTTACTGTTGTCCACCTCCAACTTCCCATGAGAGATGACATGACCCAGAAATGACAGTCTTGTTTTTGCAAACTCATACTTGGAACGCTTAACAAACAGTCGGTGCTCACGCAGCCGTGACAGGACCAGCTCAAGGTGTTTCAGGTGCTCCTCACGAGTGCGACTGTGTTTCTGTTGAAGCACTCTCGAGTACGACCAAGTTGAGCAAGGAACAATGCGGGGTGACTATCTTTGCTTATACATGTATATATATAAACACGTATATCAATTATTGTTCACCGTTTGGCACTGTCTTCAGTATGCATCCGCGTCATCTGCTTCCATGTCAGTTGGCTATGATTAACTAATTTGGCTTCACCTTCACTCTACATACCTGCTTTCTGGACCTCAGCATGCCCACTTGTCTGAGGTAGTTTTCGAGTCAATTCAAAACAACATCCGTGCTTCTTGTCCTCAGCATGCCACTTTTCTGTCCATCCCATCCCATCCAGACGCCCATCGAGCACTGCTTGCTGATTGGGTGAAAGCAGCTCGGGGGACGCCACACATGATTGACTACACCACAAAGGTAGATCGATTGTATTGTGCTATTATTTAGTATGAATCAGTATCGCACATGAGTGACGTGCACGGTGCATCACAGGACTACGTTACAAAAGTACACTACTCTTCATTCTGTTAAGCCATAGACTTTCGTATGCATGGGTCACAAAGACCCCACTTTTCTCCCCTGTTCGCCAAATGTCATATTCCTCCTACCCCCCAAGTCTCGTAGGTTGTTTTTATTCTCCTTCCTCGTCGTCGTTGACCTTTTATTAACCCTTGTGATCCTCCATGAACATTGTTGACTTGATTGACTTCGTGAACGCCCAATCATCTTTTGTACCACATTCAGGGCAAACTGCAGGGCGGCACTGCAGCGCTGCGAGTACGGGCGCCTCATTGACGCCCCATGACCCCCATTGCCCGCTATTCCACCCCTTCTCACCCCTCCGCACCGCACCCCCTCAGGGCATACTGCAGGCAGCGGTGCAGAACTGCGAGTACTGGTGCCTCATAGACCCCCAGGGACCGCATTGAGTCCCACTGACTGGCGTTCAATCCCTCCTCACCCCTCCCCATCCCCTCTATCCGTCTCCCAGGGCATACTGCAGGCGGCGGTGCAGAATTGCGAGTACTGCCGCCTCATAGACCCCCATAGACCACCTTTGTCTCCCATTGACTGTGATTCGAACGCTCCTCACTCCTCCCCAACCCCTTCATGTCTCTGTCTCCCAGGGCATACTGCAGGCAGCGGTGCAGAATTGCGAGTACTGGCGCCTCATAGACCCCCAGGGCCGGCCTCCCGGGCTTATTGGCTTGCTGCCTGGCAAGGTGTGTGCGAGTAAGATTAGTAGGAACTGATACCCTCCTGGAAATTCTCCAGTGTGCTTTTGAGTTGAATCAAATGATTTTTTAGTAGATGTAACTGACTTGTAAGATAGTCAAATGACTTTTGAGTTAGGTTACATTACGTTTGAGTTGACTCAAAATGACTTGAGACGACGTAAAAGTCGCCCCCCCCCCCACCCCCCCTTGTGTTCCTTCCTTCCCCCGCACCCGACCTTTGCCAGGCAGTCACCTTCGTGGACAATCATTCCACAGGATCCACGCAGCAGCACTGGCCCTTCCCCGCCTGGGGTCTCACTCTTGCCGCTCCCCCATTCTCCCCCTTTCCCCATTCTTCCCTTTCCCCCATTTTCCCTCCCGTGACCGGCCCTTCACCAGGCAGTCACCTTTGTGGACAATCACTCCACAGGATCCACGCAGCAACACTGGCCATTCCCCGCCTGGGGGGTCACTCTCGGGTGAGGCGCGAGAGAGGTGGTACGAGTGGATAGGTTTGAAGACGTTGGGATGAAGGTGGTTGGCATAGAGTGGGATAGGGTGGAATAGGGTGGGATGGTGTGGAATAGAGTGGAATTGGGTGTAATAGGGTGGGATGGTGTGGAATAGAGTGGAATTGGTTGGAATAGGGTGTGATAGGGTGGGATGGGTGGTGGCGAAGCGAAGGAGGTCGTCTTAAACTGTTGGCTTGCCTTGGAGCCTTGGGGATCTGGTAGGCCCGAAGTTTGGGGTTTCTCTGTCAGCTGTACTTGCTGCTCCTGCCACGTGTTCGTTTGTTTGTTTGTTTGTTTGTTTTTTTTTTTTTGAATTGGTGTTCTCACTCGGGTCGTCTTATTACACTTGTATTATACCACACACACCCGTGTGAACTCTTCTGAGTTGCTTTGACTCACTCGTCGTGTTTTGCACCCCCCACCCTTTCTGCACACCCCACCCCTTCCGCACACCCCGCCCTTTCCGCACAACCCACCCTTCCGATACCCGTCTCACTTGTTCCGTGGTGCAGCTACGTGTACATTCTGACCCACCCGGGTGTGCCGTGTGTGTTCATCGACCACCTGTACGAGTGGAACCTCAAGGTCAGTGCTCCCTTGAGCTATGTCAGCAGAGCCATCCACCATCCACCATCCGCCATCCGCCATCCGCCATCCACCATCCACCATCCGCCATCCGCCATCCGCCATCCACCATCTACCATCCGCCATCCACCATCCACAAACCACCAACCACCATCCACCAACCACTGTCCACGAGCCATGATGCCCCATCCACAATTTATCTCTTATTTATCCACTGAGAGGTTCTTAGGACCTTGTGTATCAATAGCTCTTTTTCCATCTCCCCGTTCCGCAATCTTCCCCCCATCCATGCTTTTATCATCGCAGGACCCGATTCAGAAGCTGCTGGCGATTTTTGAGACATCTCAAAATCCTTTTTTCCATTTCCGCTGTCTTTTTCCCAATCCACGCTTCCATCATTACAGGACCCGATTCAGAAGCTGCTGGCGGTCCGGCATCGCAACGGCATCACATCGCGGAGTGCGATCCGCATCATGGTGTGCAGCACGCAGCTCTATGTGGCGCGCATTGGCACCAACGTGGATGATGAGAGGCTGTTCCGCGGGGTGGTTGTGAAGCTTGGTCCTTCTTTTGACATGCATGGGACAGCACCAGGTACTTGAGTGTGTATGTGTTTGTTTTTTGTGGATCACTGTGGGTCACTGTGAGCATGAGTGTGAGCGTGAGTGTCTATGTGGCATGACAGCACCATCTCAACCACATCACGTCAAAGTCCTCCTGCATCGTCGTGAGCAACACACGGCTATATGTGGGGCGCATAGGCACTGATGTGGAGGATAAAAAGCCATTCCAAGGAGTTGGTGTGAAGCTTGGGCCGTCGTTTGGCATGCTTGGGACTGCACCGGTTACTGTGGTTCAGCGTGGGTCACTGTGGATCACTGTGGTAAGCTGTATACTGCGCTGCGGAATTGTTTGTCTTCAATGTTTACTGGTTCGGATGCTGGGGATGATGAGAGGCTGTTGTGGTTTTGTCCGATTCAAACATGAAGAGTGAAGGCTGAAGATGCACCCTCCCCTCCCCCCTCCCTCCCTTTGCAGATTCGTCTTGGCAGATAGCCATGTCAGGTCATGACTTCTGCATATGGGAAAAGAACACTGAAGTGCAGTGACTAGGCGTAGCAGTAACTAGCGGGACAGGCCTCTAGTTGTGATGCTGTATGATGTTTGTTGTGGTGGAGAAAGTTATTTCGCACTGCCTGCTGTTGGCCATACACAGAAGAACCAGCATATGCTATGCATGCATCCCCTTGTGCTGTACACTAGCTGCTGCTCCTCTTCCTGAAACAATTGTGCCAGTTTTTTCTCCATAAGAGCAGAATACAAATGGTTCCGGTGGCGGTTGGAATCATTCAGGTTAGTGAGGCGCCAAATGCGGCAGATGTTACAAGTGCGGTTCGCGGCTGGCATGTGCCACGCATTTTGTACCACCTCGGCCTCTCCCACCGCCCCCCCCCGTCCATCCGCGCCAACTGAATGGATGCCAGCGGCATGCCATATGCTCTCAAGGTGAGTTGACGTGGCGTTTCATGCTATCCACGTCCTGCTTTCGCACTGTTTGGCGTTGACCAGCATTGCCGGTAACCCAGTGGGTTCTGCTGCCAGAAGCGGAAACACCAAGGCCCTGATCGGTAGCCCCTAAGCCGAGTAAACTTCCGTTGCGTTGGCACTCGAACAAGAGTACACCGATCCACACGTGTGAGCACGTGTCGGTGGGTGCTTCCCCCTCTCCTCCTGTAAGTTTCCCAACTCCGAGGGGTGATCGGCTCGCCCTCGAAACTCCGCGTAAGGAAGTTGCGAGGGTCGTGAGCGCGATTTCCTTAGAAACACTGTTGCTTTCGGCCCAGACTGCCCCACTCGTCACCAAGAAAATAAAATCCCACAAAGGGGTAACTGGACCACAAAATGACACCATCAAGAACCACTGGGAGTGGATGGGAAGTTCTAAAGGTGTTTGAGGAGGGTGTCCCCGCAAGAACAAAAACAAAATCCTTTCCAGGCCTTACTCCGAGTAAGCGAGGCTTACTCTCCCAAAATGCTGGAGTAAGCGGAGTTCCTCCGCGGAGCTAAGTTTGCCCGTGAACGAAACTTCCTGAAGGGCCACTTCAAGTCGTACTCCGAGTAGGTAGTTCAGCGATCGTTTGCTCATTTTGGCTTACTCGGAGTAAGCCACGTCGGAGTGAGTAAACTTCCGTCACACGTGCGAAGCGGAGTAAGTGAGCTCACACGAAGCTCACTTACTCCGCTTAGGGGGTGCTACCGATCAGGGCCCAAGGGAAAACAGTGGAAACTTGCATCCTTGCTGCTGAAGTGGAGTTCCGCTCCGCAGATGTAACTCGCACTGCTCATCGGTGGTGCTCGGTTTCATCAAATTCCAGGCTGGCGATGGAATTCTTCGGCTGGTTCCACGACTGCAGATGACTGGTCGACGTCAGCGCTGCCGCGCTGTTTCTTCGAACAAAACCGTAACCAGATCCGCGGATCGTGTCGCCATCTCGTATGGCGAATCGCGTCCCGTGCATTGGCAATTGCGGCGGTGCGGAATCATACCCCGAATGCACATGGCACACCGACCGACCTCCTTTTCCTCTTGTGAGTTCGACGTCAGGCCACGGTGCACATTTCTCGCACATTTACAATTCTTGTATCGTGGCTCAGAACGGTTCCACACGGTGGGAAGCGGTTTTCAAGCTAAATCGTTTTGCACCGTTACGAAACGAAGTTGACCGTAGTGAGCGCACAATAGTTGTGCAACCTGATGTCACCCTCAAAGCTGACGCCATCTCGACTCGACTCGACTCAACTCAACTCAGCCAAGCACAATTGTCTGTCCATAAATCGTAGCTCTCTGAAACCTTCAACACAAATTACTTTTGCAACTCCACCTTATCCACTAATAGCCGTATCCCTTTCGTACCAATCCAGCGACCAAAGCTGTTGCAGGCCTTTTGAACCCCTTTCTTTTACCTGACATTCTTCAGCAAATTATTTCTACACAATGGCAATGTTCCGTTTCCCTTCTATCCACGCGCTTGCACTGGTCTGCTCTATCGTCCTGGTGCTGATTACAACCACCCAAGCTCTTCCAGACGGCGAGTTAGCGTCGCTTATCAACAGCCGACGATCTCTAGAAGCGAAGAAGCACCAATGCCCCAGCGGTGCGGGAATCTGTCCGTACAGGAGCGTCACAACATGCAGCCAGCCTTCCATTTATTGCTCTGGCGCCTGCTGCACCGTAAGTGCCACTTGATATTTACAAATGATTGTCTAGATTTATATCATTCTAGCATTGGCTAGAACACAATTGCAAGAATTCCCGTTTCTGCTTTCTCTCGCGCATGCACGCCTAACAAACCTTCCGTGTTACCCCACCATTCCATCATCTTATATTGGCTCGGCAGAACAACGTGGAGTACCCGTGCTGCGGAGGAACCATGTGCTGCAAGGCGGGCGGGTGCATGAAGAAGCATAACGGCTCGTACGCGTGCTGCCCCATCGGAACCAAGGCATGCGGAGTCGGCAAATGCTGCCCGAGTGCATAGGGCTTGGCACAATTAGCAGCGGAAAGGAGAGGCGGGGTTCCGTACTTGCTGCTTCATCAGGACCACAGCTCGTGGATCCAGCTAGTGCTGCCAAGGTTATTAAAGTTGTAAATTCTGGTACAGAATTTTGACTTCTTTTAGTTAACAATAGTAGAAGCTTGTTATTAACACATCTATTATATCCAATCCATACCCGGTTCAGCTAAACCATTCATGGGCCCAACTTAGCAAACGAAAAGTATGTCGACACTCATGCCTCTCAGAAAGTAGGAGGGCACGAAGTGAGGCTAATAAATTAGAGGATCATAAAGAAACCCGAGGATGGTGAGCATTATATACATGATACAGAATGGGGTTATGTCTTATGGGTGTAAATAAGGTAGTCACCAAGGGGCACATCTCCCATTGGTGGAAGCTGATAGTCCACCATCGCGAAAAAGGAAAGCTGCGAAAATTGGCCTCCGAAGGTTTTTCTGCGTAAACCTTGCGTACAAGTTGCGCGAAGTATCCAAAAACCAACGCACGAAAATCGCAACATTCGGTACACCAGTTGCTTTTCCGTCAAGTTTTTCGGGTCAGTCGGTGTTGAACGTTCGAGAGAGATTCCATGCGGTTTTGCAGAGTGACGAGGGCAGTGTAATGTAACCATAAATTTAACGAAACAAATCGAACCCACGAAGTCCAGCGAGGTTCACCAACTGCATACATTGTTTTCGTTCAACTGCATACATTGTTTTCGTTCAACTGCATACATTGTTTTCGTTCAGTGTCCAATCTGAACCCAACCACCCAACCCAACCCACACAAGTCTGCTGGCTTCTTTAGGGGTGTGACGTGTAAGCCACAAAATCTATTTTAAAGCCCGTGTCCCAAATTGCGGACCGCGAGAGTCAAGTTTTTAAAACTTGACGAAGTTGAGTGTCCAAGCTTTTGAAAGTCACGCACCTGCAATTTGGGACTTTCGAAGACAGATTCACTCACCAGGGGGAAAACCGAGGGTTGGCTGGGTCTCGCGAAAAAAACGAACCTAGACGAAATCGCGAACTCTCGCCAAAGCCTATATCAGAAAAACTCCCTCTGGTCAACTTTTAAAAGCATGAACAATTTGGGGCGCCGGCTTTAAGCCAATCACTGTTGTTTCTGTGAGTGGTCAATCAATCTGCACCCGCTGTTTTGTACACGTCAGCTAGAACCACCCATGATTCCCCTATGTACCCCTGCATTCGTTCCGTACCTACAACCAACCTTACTCCCCCTCACCTTGTTCATTTTGTATTCAATGTTCATGAGTATCTTCCTCCTAGTTCCTTAGATCCGCAACTTAGATAGTGGTTTACAGAAACCGCACGCTAACTAACTTAGGCGCTTCGGTAGCCTTGTTGTCCTTTTGACGTCCTGTTTTTCATCAGTCTTCCGTCCCCTGCCTCTTTTTTTTTTCCCCTATTGCGCCACCAGGTATTGACGGAAATTTTCCAACATCACCATCGCGCTGCAGCAGCTGCGCTGGCTGCTTGGGTGGGCGTCGTTCACGCAGAGCCCGGAAATCGTCGCGCAGCATCCCAGGTGTGATTAGTGTATGTTGTTTCAATCTGCCTATTTTGTTGATTTCGTTCACTTTTAACTAGCAAGTTTCGTGATGTTGTTACTCAATCTCAATGTATCGATTCCCAGCTTCGTTTTGTGCGTAGCTACTATTGTCGCGATGTATTCTGTTTTTGGCAATTTGTTCTGTGTTTGCAACTAATCATGTGAATGTCCGGTTTCCAACATAGGCTGGCCATTTTTACGATCGCGAATATGGCTGTCGCGACAGCATCGTCGTGTGCGTAACCATCGTCGATAGTACCGCCGCGATTGACTATGTCTAAAACTAAGTACATGCTTTAATTAACCCCTCTGGAGCAATGTGCGCGGGATGCATGACAGTATGCTGTGTGTGCATGTGTTGCAGGGCGTACCTGTTTTTGCAGGCTTATCGTCTACCAGAAACGCAATATGTTTATTTTTCACCATTAAATCGTACTCCAGCATTACGAATGGTGAGTGCTCATTTACGTTGACTG